AATCGCTTCGTTTTAATCAATGCTTGGTTACGGTAGGCATACGGTACAAGACTAAACACACCCGAATAGTTTTTTTTTTCGAGAATACGCCCCTTGAAATTTCAAAGGTTTAAGGCCTAATTTTATTATGAAAAGTTTCATTCTGAAACGAATCTTGCCCGGAAATTTACCCTGCTGAGCTTATAACTGACTTTTAGAAATTTTCTGCTGTTATTATTTTTTTTGCAGATATGCTCGAACAAGCAGCATTTAGGAAAGCCTTTTATCAATCTGCGATGATTGTGTAGCTTATATTTGCCACAATTACTGTGGGATTACGATAGAGATACGGTATAAGATTGGAGTAGCAAAACTAGCGGCATAATCTGGCCTATGAAGCTTTTAGACTGGCTTTCGTTGTTTGCTACTGAGTTCTGATATTACGAACCGTATTCAATTCATTAGATTTAAAACCAAATAAGCCGGAACATCTAAATATAATTCACAAGTACAATACTGTATAACTGTACGGCATTATGCTTAACCTCAATTTTTAATTCATTTCTGTATTTTATGAGCAAATCGGACTAGAAATAAAGAGAAGAAGAAGCCGGAAGGAAGTAGACAAATAGAAAACTTCCGCGATTTTTATTTTACCAGTGCAAATTATTTCAAATTATCGGTTGTATATATTATACTTTACTTAAGAGTAAAAAACAGAGAAAATTCGACGTCATAGACATCCACATTTATTAGGAAAAATGTGACTTTTAGCGTTTCCAGTGAAAATAGATTACTGCTTGTGTCATCGCTAATCAAATCTCATCTCTATATCGCACCTCGAAGACGTCAGACGTTGTCCACTAAAAATAAATATTAAAAACTTATATCCGAAATTAATAAACTTAAAAATATAACAATTTCCAAATCAAGAATTACAAATAATAAAATCAAGCAAAAATTCTAAAAGAATTAATTCTAAAAGAGTTTTGGTTGAGTTTTAAAGTATTAAAAGTATGTAGAGCCTCTATTAGGGTTTCTATAGATCTCTTGGAGTTTAGAGCAATTATTCTCATTATTCTTATACAGGTTATAGATTTGATTTCTGTTATGTTTCTGAAGGAATGAATATAAAATTTACAGGATTGGATATCATTATGATCTGTTAGTGATAATGATTATATTATTAGGTTCCTGCATGAGTTTTATACTTTTCTTTATCACTGGAAAACTCTAGAAAATTCGACAAAATCTCTTATCTAGCACATATTGAAAAAAGATGAAGGCCTACTTATTGGCTTTATTTGTGTTTCTACAGATATGAATTACAATGAAATAAGTGCAATTCTAGAAGCATTTTAATACTTTAATAATTTATTCTTTATTTTCGAAAGAAATTTTGTCTTCTCTTTTTCGAATCGCAATGTTTTTTTAATAAATTTCACTCATCATTAATAATACGAAAGCATTTGAAAGAAGTTCGAGCTCCATGGCGCAAGCTGGAAATTTGCCAAAATAACTCGAAAAAATTCTCAAAGAATTCGGAGAATCATTTTTAAGGTAACGTGTATATATACAAAATCCATAGCATTCCACATAATTCCGACATGATGAGAAAAAATCTTTTGGGAATGTTATGAACATTTTTTCGCTAGGTATAACAAAATTTATATAATAACCTGATGATGATATTGGCAACAAATAATGGCTACAAAAACCACTAAAAACAGTAAAAATTTGCCGTTGCGGCTGCGCTATTTCAGGTAAAAAACCGTTCCTACCATGGTGAACTTGATTTTCAACTTCCGGACCCGGTTTCTAGCTATTGAGAGATTTTTGAATTGAGCTAACGATCCTTTATATATTGAATACATGGTTACAGTATTTGCTTGTTGTTCTCATCTGTGCTGAAAGCATTTTTGGAACTATAATACAAATTTTTGGGCGAAAACAACAGTCATTGAATTTTTTTAAATAAAAATCAAATTCATTGTCATTCAACTTGAAGGTACTCCGGTGAATTTGCTGAATTTGTGTTTGTCAGGTCGTTTTTCGATGAGCAATAGAATCACTTCATAAAAAGGTTATTTGAACCCCAGGAAAAATTTTTTAGGAAGTTATCAGCAGATTTTTCGTACTTTTTTGTCACTTACAACATGTTCCAACGTTTGTTAATGCATACTGGCAAAGCTGTTATGGGAAAGCTTTTGCCTATTGAAAATGAACAGTCTCAAAATGAAGGAGATCTCTAGAATTGAGTCAGAACATTTTAAATTCACTAATTTCTACGAAAATCTTGAAGCGTTGATCTCATTGGAAAAACTCATCAAAAAACCGGATAAAGATTGTAAAACCTCTTTAAAATCACAATTTTATACATCTTGCGGAGTTTCCTTTCCTGCAAAATGCTCGCTTAACATATTCACATGAACTCTTTTTTGAAAATTCTAGAATTCTGGAAGATTACGATGTTTACACGGCTTTTACGTACATTCTATACATAGCAGAGCAGCCTTGCTTAGGCTTCTCTTTACCATAGAAACGGACTTCACGAGGTGGGGAAGAAGATTATGAAGTGGCTTGTACGATAGCTAATTGGATGCTTGATCTAAAAATATGGAGCAAAAATTTTTCTCAAAAATACCCTATAAACATATATTGAGCAAAATTCAAGTAATTTTCAAATTAATCGTGTTTTGAACAAATTCATCTTGCTTGAAATAAATGGCAAAAAACATATGGTGAAAAAACCCTATAATTATGGCTTGGGAGATGATCTTGACAAATTTCTGTCATAACAAATTTCACAATGAATTTGTTTACTGTTTTCACAACCTATGAATGATTGCTTTTTCCCGCTTTGTTTTCGTCCAAAATTTTTCTCTGTTGTTGAAAATATTTTGTACACTTTCCAAAAAAGCTTCCTTGCTAGCAACTCTCTTTTCGCGAGGCGCACAATTTGCCATTAAAGCTTTCCTTGCTCCATTGCACATTCGGAAAGAGAAGTGGAATTAGCATTTGGTGTGATTAGATGCTTGCCAGAAGAAAAAATTGCTAGCACATTTCAGATTCGGTTTGCAAAGCTCATTAGGCTTGCAGGGGCTGGAACTTGCGAAGCTGAGAAGAAGAAGATTCTTCGTCATTCGTAAATTATTAGCTTTAGATCACATAGGTACCGTAACTTCGGCTGAGACTTCAGATGAGCTAAACTCGGCCTTAAGTCTTCAAGATTTTGCCGGATTTCACTGCTCATTTTCAGATTTAAGTACGTAATTGTTCGTAAAGCAAACTGTGAATGTTGGCAAGCTAATTTCATTGATCAGCTCCTTGATTTGTCTTCGCAAAAATTTGAAGTTGTATATTATCGAATGTCACAGCTTAATAAAAATGGACTTCCTCGAGGAAAAGTCTATGAAAACTTAGTTGATTGATTGATTTAATGAGTGATTGTTTACAAGTGCAGTGGTAGCTTCTCACCCTGGCATTTCTTAACCCATTGACGACGATGTGGACCACCGGTGGCCTACGCACTTCTTGCCGCCAGGGACGATGTGGACCAGCGGTGGCTTACACACCTTGCAAAATCATATCCTTTCCAGGTCTAGTTTTTTTTTTCCAGAGCTCACCATTTTTTCCAGTTCTTTGCACTTTTGGAACCTATAGACTTCGTCGTCCAAGAAGATGGCTGTAGTTGCTTACAAAACATTTTTACATTTCGTAAATAATCACAAAACTTTCCCGCGCCGCAAATGTTGTGCAAAATCGCGTCGTCCCACAGCGCCGCCACGCAAAATTAGGCGTCGTCGTCAATGGGTTAAAAAGGGCGTGACAGAGGCCTCTGTCTTTACAAAAATTCCATCTCTACGCACTTTTGAAACCAATGTTCCACCGTGCCAAAAATGAGCTAATTCGAACAAAAGTAGAAAAAATATGCCATAGGCTACAACAGAAAGTGATTATGTTATTAAGAGCTCCTAATTCCGCTTTTTTGAAAATAAAACGGGCGTGGTGGGAGCCTCAAGAAAGAAATGCAGATCCCTTTTTTAAAAGGATTTTGAAATTTGAGTCATTTATAAGATAAAATAAGTCACGTACACAGTTGTATATCTTATGGTTAGGTGCGTTGACATTTACTCATTCGGGGGGGGGGAGGGGAGGGAGGGGGAGGGCGATTTCATGGGTAATGCTTAGTCTGCTGTATAATACATGTGGATCTTTGTTGTTTTCCGCTACAATGAAACTTTCAATTTGATCACAGAACCCATTTCTATATCTAAATGTATTTTTACGAATTTCTGAACTTTGATTTCTGAAGCAAATAATATTCTCCCTAATGCTATGAATATGATTTAGTCCAGAAATGGCACTACATTAAATAGGGTAGAGTGCGGCTCCGGTGCAGAGAATGCATAAGTTACGTCCACTGCGGCGGCGCGGTCGTAGTTGACATTCACGAATTAGAGATTGTGCGAACATAAGAGACGCAGACAGTTAGGACCGCGGCGCCGCAAGGCAGGCTGCAACTTGTGTATTTCTCGCGTCTATAACATTGATTTGTTGATTTCGGCAACAATTCTAACTGCAAACATCAATCTGAATTAAAAATCTTCAGAAAAAAAACGATTTTTGACTTTTTCTGGGAATTCTTGAAGGACTTAATTACCTCAATTTTCTCCTTTTTTTGCTAAACTGCACAATTCTAGTTCCTTATCTTATTTGCTTCTGTTTGGAACATATTGTTCCCCGCGAACGCATCTATTATTTATACGATGCGTCTGCACAAGACGAAAAAACATAACACTGTTACCTATCGCTACTGCCTTCTCGTTCTCTTCTGCGATTTCTCTCGATTTCGAAACATTTGAATAAATTTAGAGTTGCGAACACAGCTACATGAAGAAATATCTTGATTCTACTTGAGAAAAGTTGAGTTTTATGGTTTTGAGAAAAATAGGAATGTAGAGAAGAAGAGGAGTTCTGAAACTGTTTGAAAACTCGATATCTGATTTCTGCTGTTTTAGATCTTATGAACGACTGGGAAATTGGCGGAACGCAGAACAAATGGGTTTGCCCAAGTGATCGACATTTGCAGCTTAGAGCACAGTTAGTCTTTCTTTTTTCTTATGTTTATTTCTTTTTAGTGAATTTTCCATAATCAGAATGTTGATGGTAGAATTTACACTGCAAAAATAGCATTTTCCGATGGTTTCTGCGAATATTTGTGGACAAAGTATGAACAAGCAGCTGTTTTCCAGATCATCTGGCTTCTAGTGAAAGTCTTTGCTCAAACTTTTATGGCTAGCTTCCCGCTTTTCCAGGCTTTCCAAACTTACAACCTTATGCTCTTAAGCTCAACTCTTTCTTATACTAATGCCGTTCAAATGGAATTAGTTTTCTGCTAAACTATCACTTTTGCACAGTTTTGCAGAAATGAATAAATTCAAACACTATTACTGTTTTAGGCGTATAAATCGTAGGGTAAGAAAGTTTTCGGAAAGGATGTGGTGATTTTCTTTGAGCTTAAGAATGTTCAAAACAGATTGTTTTCTGGAAGATTATTCTAGTTGGTGAATAGACATCTTTATAACATCTTTGATACTAACTCAGAACACTTTCAAAATGATGGAACTGCGATGCGCCTTTGTGAATGCATCTCAAGAAGAAAAAAATTATTTGCTTTTCAATTGTGATTCCCTAGACCGTGGGCATTTATTTGATGCAATCAACATCTGAAGTATTTTACCAGGAAAATTATATGATAACATTCTAACGTCTATCGTGATCAAATCGTCTCGAGGAGAACTCTGTCGCAATTCGTTTTCTACTCGAAAAGCTAGGGAAATGTAACTATGTTATAAGGCCGGTTTCAAAGCAAACTCATCTTTGAACATTTTGAATGCTTTTGTTTTTTACGGTCAAAATTTCTTTTTTTCTGGGACTGCTTCTTACTTGAACAAGAAAAGTCTAGCTGGAGAATGGTTTTAGATCACTGGTATTATATTTGATTAGAATTTAGAGTGTAATTGCACTGGATTCAACGTAATTTGTACTGACGGCAACGATGCTGGTTAATATGAAGTTTTAAGAATTTCTGGGAATTTTATGTCGGATGAGAAATCGTGCATGTCATTTTTCTGTCATCTCTCATTCTCTACATAACGACAAATCTCCTAAATTTTAGCGGAACATAGCTGTCTCTCCTCAAGGACCCTACTTCAATCAGACCAAAATTTTGTGATATACACATAAACTAGTGAAAAAAACCTTCTACGAGCTGTCATGTAACGAGGCTTCACTCAACCCTGATAGTTTGTTTCATTACGCGACTCATAGGCATTGAATCTGCATGAAATAAAAGCATTTCTTTCATTGAGTTTTTAATAAGTCCATGAATATGGGGTGATAAAAGGTATTTCGGTTTTTATCGTTTTGTAAATTAGACGACTTAATGTGCCAGTATTTTGAAGCGGAGTAATGCAAAATAAATCCTAGTCAGCAATCCACGGAAATCTTCTAGCACTCGTTTTTCCGATAAACTATTTACGATGCTGAATATCAAGCTTCATTTGAGCGACTGAACTTCTCTAGTCCTGTACAAAGTCTAGAATTTGCATAAATTCAATCGCAATTAGTATTCTAGTAATTTTGCTCAATTATGGAGAAAAGAATCCTCGTCGTTTTCACTGACATCACTCGAATCTTTAATGAATATTCAACCGATAAACTAGAACATAATTTGACCTTTTTTCCATAACTAAGCCCAATAATTTTCTTTCAGTAAACCTACTCATTAAGGGCAAGAAGTTTAGGGCCATATAAAAGTCATCAAGTACTCAAAAGTACATATATGTCTTTCAGGCTAAAGTCAGGATGGTCAGTACGAACGGCGACCGCACGATCGCCAACGAATTCGAAAGGAAATACCGGTATCACCGAAGCCGAGCAAGAACATATCAAACAGGTAGGTATTACCGTATCAACACCGTATCCTGTTTTGAGAAACTTGCTGCTTTTTTGAGCTTTTGCAGTTATAAGGCGGTTAATACTTTTATATGTATTCAGATTAATTTTTTTTCAATCGATGAATTTCTCCTCGAATTTTTGGAAAAATCCAAACAAAATCTACTCGATTTTTTGACGTATCATATTTTGAGTAACTGCTGCTTCAGTTTTCAGAATTTCTTGAAGAGGAATAGTTGACACCTTTATCATGGTTTACTCACATTTGCGTTATCTAATGAACTGAAAATACTTTCGTCTAAAACACTCTAGAAATCTGACCAAAATTCGTGAAATTTTCAAATATTTTACCATATTCCATTCTGAGTAACTGCTACTTTTTTAAGCTTTTGAAATTTTTTGGAACAAAAGAGTTGCAACTTATGTCAGTGATTATCCAAATTTACGTTATTTTTTGTGTCGCAAATGTTTTCGTTTGAAACACCTTAGAAAAATCTAGTCAAAATCTTAATTTTTCATCCACAAATTCCGAGTTTTTTTACTTCACAATTTACTACATTTTCACTTGACTACCTCAGGAAAAGTTTATTAGCGAATTTTTAATATTTTCGAACATTAGTTGACAGCTTCTTTCCTCCCCTCCCCCCTTAGCATTTAGGCTCAAAAACTTCCTAATCCTTTTTTTTTTCAGGTGCTGGCCAAAGCGGAAGCAAGCCGAATGAAAGAGCAGCAACGATTAGGGTAAGTGCGCCAAAGATTCTCGAACTTTTTTAAGTTTGGGATTTTTTTTTACTATTTGCATAGCTATTATATTTTTCTTCTAACTCGATAATTCTAATCGCAAGTAATTGCTTCACAAAGAAAATTTCCTTTTCCGCTTTTAGAAGGCAAGAATCTTGGAACTAAACAGGGAAAAATCGGTGTGGTAAGGTATAATTTAATAAAAAGTCTGTCTAGACTTTTTTCGTATAGTTTTGAAATTTTTAAGAGATTTCTATATCATATCTGATCGGGAAAAAACACTTGCGAACGGTTGCGAAGTTCTTTCCATTCAAATAAACCACTAGATGCTCCTATTCACATACAAAAACTTGTTTTTCTCAATTCTTATGTACCTAAAAAAAGGCTACAGCAGCGCCCTCAATTTGAGCGAATCTTATCAGCTCTTGGTAACGAAGCTAATTCATGAAGGCTTTTTGCTCAAAGGTTAGCGAAAATCTTAATCCGAATGCCATTAGGCAGAGAATCTTTATAAAAACCTTGCTGACGGAAGCCGGCAATTTGCAATGCCGCAATTTTTTGCTGGCTAGGCAATCTCTGAGGTGAATCCTAGGAATTTTTCTGGGGTAGGGGGAGTACTGAATTTCCTGCGGAAGAAGCCGAGGGAGATTTGGAATTTACGCAAATCAAATCTATCTCTCTCTTAAAAATTTGATTAGAAGAAGGTGGCCTTAAACTGTGAACAATTTTTTGAGGACAAAGAGACAGCAGTATTCTTATATTTTACTATATTTTTATATCTTTTATATTTTTGCATTTTTTATTTTTCTATATTTTTTTATCATTGTATTGCTTATATCTTTACATTGAAGTTCCCGACAGAATCCAAAGAAAAGATATTTGAATCAGTCGGCAATTCGAAAATTTCTTGACTCAATTTTATAAAATACGGCTTGATAGAAAATCCTCCATATATTTGAACAGTACCTGCAAGCAACCACAATTTGAACAAAAAATTATCCTTTTGCGACTCCTGCGGCTGTGATTGGTTGTACGCAGCTGTGATTGGTCAGGAGGCTAGGTGAAGCGCTACATGGGAAATATTCAACATGTCAAAGCCAAGTTCGCTGAAGTTGCATCAGATTCTGGGTGAAGGGATATATACATGGACGGAAGCGCTGGAAAAAATTCACAAAGCGTTATTCTTTCTTATTTTCTTGATGTAATCAAACAAGAAAGGCGCAAATTTTAGATCAATCCTTCCCCTAATCCTGAGGTACATGCAATATACATTATTCGTTTACCAATCAACTTTTTGTGGATTCTTAATAACGACAATAATCTAACATGCTCTGTAGCCACAATTCGACGGGTTTCAATCGCCCATAGGCGATTGCTTGACGACTTAGCATAGCTCTGCTCAATTTCTGTTCAACAATTTGATATTTCGCAAGCGCTGCCTTATCCATACACAATTTCTAGAAGATCTAATTATGGAAAGTCAACTGTCGTCATCAATTAGCATTCACTGTGTCCATTCGAAGCTAATTGTATGTCTTTGGGCGCTAAACGAAATCTAGTAATTTCTTTGTGGGACACAATGTCATTACGTTAATTAATCACTAAAAGTAGTTCATCGACTTCGAATAGTGCTCACTTGCCTCACTTAGACGACTATAGGTCACGGTTTCTGGGCGTCCCAGACTTTATTATTTTCTGTTTAATCAGCTGGAAAACATAAGAATATGTCTATACTTATTCACTAAAAGCTTGTACCTCCCCATTATTCCCCACTCATGCCTTGTTCTAGGAAAATGGTCGATCGACTTGAGAAAATGCGACGTCGTGCCACTGGTAACGGCGTGACTCACTGCCTTCTCTGTCATACAGAATTTGGTTTGTTAGCCTCGAAAAGCTATGCTGCCATGTGTGTGGATTGCAGAAAGGTATGTCATAATATCACGTCGTTTGGAAGCTGAAATACTTGACTAAGCTGAACAAAATTCTTTTTACTCTGATAATAGGACGCACCGTTGAAATCCATGCGTTTCGGTCACATCTTAACACGACTTAAAGGCGTTCAAGCCGCGCTGTTGCGATATCCGCAGCTTTAGCCCTGTCTGTGCTGACTCAGAATACATCCAGATTTCGTAGTAATAAGAAGTCGTAATTCGAATTTTTTGAAAAGAAAATTAGTATGCATGTCTAATGGTTCGAGTTCTCAAATTTAATTTTGGTCATTTGGATTTATCGACGAATTTCGTAACCAAAAAATGATTTGCCTTTTGGGGGGTCAAACAACAGTCATAGAAGCTTTGAGAAATGTTCTTGAGAATTGAAGTTACTATTTAAAGAGTTATGGTATTCTGAGTATTTTACTGCCCTAGTACCTCTTTGCAAATATGTTAAAAATACGGGAGGAGGGGGGGGGGGGGGAGAGGAACTGTCGTTACCAAAACTTTTTTGCCCGTCGACTAGGGAAATGAACAGCAATAAATTGTTAGAGTCTAAATTCTCTTACGCATCAGATTGTTGAGCCCCTTTCAAGTTTCTGAAATAAGTATTAGTCCAAATTATAGTTTACGGTAGGATTACGGTAGAGCAAAAGTACCTCACATTGTGACGTCAACTAGCCTCAAAGTCGTTGTTGAGATAATAATTCCTGAGTATGAACAATTTTTGCCCTTTAGATTAAACTCGAAATTCAAAATATGAGTGTGAAATGAAATTGGTGATAGCCCTTATTATAGCCCACGGTAGATTACGGTGGGGCTACGGTGTCGCCAAACTGTGACGTCATCCAGCCTTACAGTCGTTGTCAGGAACAATTGCTGAATTTGTACTATTTTTGCTCTTTAGACGTAAATTCAGATTTCAAAGATATGGGTATGAACAAAGTATATTTTTTTCGGAATTAACCTTAATTTTTTTAGTATGTCTGCCAACGAAACTGTGGTGTGGAAACGCTCGACAGTCAACGTGGAGAAGTGGTGTTCTTGTGCAAAATTTGCTCGGAGGCCAGAGAGGTGGTTAGTCGCTGGGTGGTCTGCTTTCGCACTTTTTCTCCAATATTTGTTGCTTTTTCACTTCTATATCTTCTTCCTTTGTTTACTTCTCGTACTATTGTCAAGTTCATTTCGAGTCTTCCACATATTAGGTTGGTACATAAGTTTTGTTACACTTAGCGAGAAAGACCTTCATTACTTTTTTGGAAGATTTTTTCTCATCTTCGGATTGAGTGGAGGGTTGTGGCTTTCTAATAGATACACCCTATTGTCCTTTGAACCACATGAATTTATAATTTTGCTGTGTAGGTGGCGGGTTTTTCAAGTTAGATGACACCAAAATTCCTTTATTTTAATTTAATTACCTGTCGTACTCGGGCAAGACCTCAAGAGCTGGTAGATTCTAACATGTTTTATATAATAGAAAAAATGCAAACTTTCTCCACCAGCAAGTCTAATTGCTAATTTCCTTAAGAAGCTGCCTAGAGTAGTTATCATTGGATACAGTCCTTTTCAATAAAGCAGCCACTTTGTGTAATTGCACTATTTGCTTGAGTCTGCATTGCCAGCTGACATTTTATTATTTTGTACTCCTCATATCCTAATAATGGATCTACATCCACCAAAGCTTCTAAAGCAGTTTTTGGAAGTTGTGCAATTACACAAAGTGACTGCTGAAGAGAATGACTATACTGATTCGGGTTACGAATGTATCTTCGCTATTTTCCTCTATTGCTGTTGTTGCCTATGCAAGTGACCACCCAAATTCAAAAAAAAAAGTTCTATACCTATGTTGTAACTCACCTCTGTAAATAATTTCTGCACTTTCTGGCACTTGCAGGCTTAATTTTTTCAAGCAGAACATACAGTTTTCAGAGGTGGTGGTGGGAGTTCTGTGTCGGGGAATTGTCAGAAAAAAATCTCGCTGAAGATGCAGATGCTTTGAAATGTAGCTCATTGAAAACATGTAGCATGCTCTTAACAATGTTGCTCTACGGCGAATTGTATTCGAAAATGTTGTCCTTTCTGCTTCAATCGCTTTGTTAACTTCTATTCTACCAGACTTGTCCTTTGTTACTTGCATGAGCAGGGTCTGCTCGGTAACATCCTTGACATCAGGGACCTCGAATTATTTGGTATTAGTTTCAGTTATGGAAAAAATCTGGAGCGTGGTTCTACAAAGAAATGCCAGACTTTGTGCGCCCAGAGGCAATGCCCGCAAATGGATCCATCGTCTCTCCCGCGCAAAATAAGCCTTCTTGGGGTTCGTTGGCAGGACCATCGGCTCCCATCCCCGCTGGTAGAAGATGTTTACCTCCGACTCCGAATGAAAGGTGAGAAATTCATACAATAGTTTGGTTGGTTAAGCTAAAGGCTGCGGGCAGAATTGCCCATGTGCTGGCATAGCGCCAGCGATCCAGCGCAGTGCCATCACCGTTTCGGTATCTCCAGCGCTGTGCCAACTGCGTGCCAATGCCGTTCCAACGTTGTTCCAGCTTATGCAGGCACCTGCCAGAGCTTAAGTGCAAGCACCGTGTATTGATTGATCGAAAATGCTGGCACAGCTCCGGCACGGCGCTGGAACGGCTTTGGCGAGCGACTTTGGGCGCAGCCTTGAAATGGTAAAAATCAATGTAATCAATCATTATAATCAAAAGCTTTAGCCGGACACCACCACCAGTCCCCTTACCGGACATATTGATAAGGTTTGATTATTTAACGTATTCAGCACCTGTGAAATGAGTAAATGAGTACGGTAGAATATATAAGCATGCATTCACCGCAATAAGTGAAAAAATGTGCGATAGTCTCGTTGTTTTGCCAGTTCCCTGGCTGTGTGGTGTCTCCAAATTGTTGTTCGCATAAAAATTTGCCATTTTCTGGAATTTCAACCTTTAAAATTTAGGACGAAATCACCAAGACCACGAATTCAGCCCTCATGGGTGAAGGAGAAGGTGATGTCGTCAATGTCTGTGGATGAGGAGGATAGGTAAGACTGTTCAGCTTTATCTGCGTGCAATCCCTAATTACCTTGAACATCCTTCTAGGAGCTCGTCCGAAAGCGAATTTGCTCAATCCGGTGTTGTCAGGCGTAGCCACAAATCGACTATGGCATCACGACGAGAGGAAAATCTTGCTCGATTTGCACTTCACGCCACTCACATTAGCGATAGTGGTAAGTCTAAGAAAAAGGAAAGAGGAGATTGTGAGGGGAGCGGCAGAGGAAGAAGAAGACCGACAACGAAATAAGGTGATCTTCTATTTTTTAGAAGAAGAATCATCGCCAGAATCGCGAGCATCGACGAGGTCTACGTCACCACGTCGGTCACTGGCCACTCCTTCTTCGTATGATTCCACACATAATCAAACTGTTCAACCTACACATCCCGAAGATGCTAGAAGTATTGACAGCGGAGGTAATCGGAGTCAGTTTATTATCATTGTTTTCAGATTTTCATCATGTTTCAAATATTTTATCACAATTCATCCCGATTATTTTGAACGCCCTTGTTCGAAGGGTGAAAATCTTGCTACGATTGTGGAAAATATGCGCCACTTTCATTTCAAAATTCAAAATTTATACAGGTGTAAAGAAAAATTAGAGTGGGAAAATATTTGAGCATCACATTGTAAAAAGAATCACTGTCGAATCATATACAACATATGCATGCCAATATATATATTTCTATAGCGGTGAGTTACGGCAAGCTTGACATGCGTAGGCAAGTCTTCGCGCGCAGAGACAAGGTGTCGTTGCGGATGCTGTCTGTGTCTCTCTAATACAGCACACTTCCAACTCTCTTACTGTCTGCTGTCTTCACAAAGACGAAATATTTTGGTCGGGGGGGGGCAACAGGGCTCAGTCTCTGCGCGCGATAATTCGCCAAAACCAAGTTTACAAAACATGTGTGGATTTCTGGTGTGAGTAGGGCGAATCGATGACTAAAATTTACCAAAGATTATTCGTCATTGAGAAGGCCTGATGTACAAGAGGTCATTACCAGTAATTCGCTCGTAGAAAGAATATTTTCAGTGGTACAATCGGACCATTCAAATCCGCAGCAAGCGTTGACGCTCTCCGTCTCATCACTGGCGCCATTCTCATCTAGCACAACGAATAGCGATGCACCCCCGACGAGAAGAATCAGCCAGACAGAGTTCCCAATAATGGAGACGCGAGTCGCGCAATCTGCATCTAGTTAGTTTTCTCCTTTAAAGACAGAGTCCAGAAAAACTCAAACACATGGTCACCGATGTGAGAAGTGACTGGAGCGGTCCAAGTAGCCATCACTCGGGCGGCATTTGATTTGATTTATTCCCGGCCAAGAAATACAGCTTCAAAGTGCAGCCCAAACCATACATTTCACCGTACTTGAGGGTGAAAGAGCACGGTACCGGGCTAGAGTTTGATGTTGATTTCCCGGCCATGAATTAATTGTATGAGTTGCCGCTTGAGTAGTGACTTACCTAAGGCTAATACCGTTATTTAGGAAGCTCATTAGCTTTGACGACACCGCCTCCCATCCCACCTCGAGTGAGTCCTGCGCCTACAGAATCGCGCGCAAGTCCTGCTCCTTCGGTTGAAGCGATGTCGAGAAAGATTAGCATAAGTTCCGCAGCTAGTACAAAACGTGCCGGAACTTCAAATGACAGCATGAACGCTATTGAAAGTGCCAAGCCACAGGTAAAGATATCTCTGCTGATTGTCTCACAGAGGAATTTTGAAAAAAAAAATTTCAGCCACCTCCACGGACGGAATCACCGACCGCTTCATTTATGAGCTCGCCAGATGATGATTCAAGTAAATTTATAACTTTTAGCTTTTTACAGGTTTTCTTGGTGTATTCAGTATTCTCACTCATTAATTCTTGACCATTGCCTATTTTTTGAAAAATTTCCTAGTCTTATACATTAAATCTCAATGAATCACATAAATCTAAACTTGATATATAATTCTGCGACAAAAATGTAAGAGATTCTCAAAACTTCTTTATCTCGACACATCGTAAGCACTTTTGTAAAATACCATCTTCATTCGCGATGCATATATCTTGTTCCAACCGGTAGTCATAGAATTTTCAAGAAAAATTTCGTTAATTTTATTTCGTGGTTTGCTGTGAGATAACCCAAACGTTGTGAAATTGGACTGACAAGAACACTTGTTAAAATATGTAGTTTCTTGCTAGTGGTAGACTTAGAAGTCTACTCGAGAGGCGGCTCATTGAACCTACAGTATCCTACCATACTCTGCAAATGGTGTTCGTCATAAGCATCCTTCAACTCTTTCCATCAATATCGCGTCCTAGGAGTATCATGGTAGCATACTGTAGGTAGAAACGGCCTAATTTGGTAGAGGACTTCATGTCCCCAAAAAGCTCCACGCGTGCGGATATCTGTTACAAATCATGCACCTCAATATGTGTTGCGCCAGGACCAGTTGCCCGCTCGGACGGAGCTCAACGGCGGCGTAACGTCCTCTACCCACATCATTCTCATACTCCTGATCCACAACAGCCCTCTCACACTCACATCCTGTCATCCACATTAGATACAGATTTCGTCGTTGTCGATTTTTTATTCGCTTGCTTTTGTCTTGTACCTTCCAGATTTTTCCACATTTTTTTTTACATTTGATTGGAGTATAGTGAAAGTTGCAGAAGTTCGACATTAGAACTTCCACATTGATGTCGTCTGTGTAAAAACTCGCCATGTTCATTCAGAGTCACGCACGCGTCGTCGTGCAATCGTCACTCGTTTCAACTCAGCCAAACCACATCTAACCGCACAAGAGTCCGTACCCGAAGAGAACACACCGCCAACGGTGGCGATGTCCCAGAGCACACCGGACGATTTGGCCCTGGAAGCAATGGCGGCCACAGCAGCCACAGCCACAGCCGAACCCGGTTCGCCTCCTGTTCGACGAAGCATGCGAATGTTTCTACTTTCCTGCTTGCTTCCCGCACGTGATCGTACGCTAAGCTTTCTTTGGTTTGGCCAAACTGCGCGGCATACGCTAAGCATGTTGGATCGCGCAGCGCTTTGTGCTATAGGCGCCTACCAAGTGTTCCCGAAAAGAAATGGAGCTAAAGGTAGAAGAAGGAATACTTCAATCGCACCGCCTCTGCGGATTACTGTTTCTAACACGATCGCAACAGTTGAGCTAAAGGACCAGCAGTTCGCGGAAATGGTGCCTAACTGATTCGTTCCTACGCCCATGAAATCGCAATAGTGGATGCCTTGCCGATGCGCGCGTTTGCAGCTGCCAAGACAGCTTTGAGAGTTTTATCTTACCGCCGTGCCAGCATCGTGCCAGCACCGTGCCAGCGCCATTTCGGCACTATTTCCTTGCGAAACCATGAAGGCACTCTGATTTGATAGGTCGACGTTTCCGCAGGGCGCTAGCACGACGCTGAAGCGGCGCTGGGCGTTGGCATGGCGTTGAGACGGAAGCGGCACAGCGCTGGCACAATGCTGGCACGGGTAAACCTTATACACTCTGAAAATTCGGCCTATGCCGCGCAGTTTGCCCAAATTCGTTTTGAAATTTTATTTCTCGAAATTAACACAAACACTTCGCTGTGCGAAACGCTTGGATGGCGGAAAGCAAGTGCATGGATGTTGTTCGTGATTGCATGATTTTGTTTGTGTGTAGTGCTCTATCATCTATCTCTCCGAATCAGTTCGATAACAGCACAACGTCTCTAGCACGTCCAAGCCTTTCTTTTTCTATCTCCACTATCTTTTGGGTGCCATAGCTATGTATTTTATGCTGAACGTCGAACTTATTTTTGATTTTAAGGTACTCTTGGATCCATCCAGTTTACTGTATACTACAATCAACAAGAAAAGAAGCTTACAATTCATCTTATTAGAGCTAAGGTATGTTGTTGAAAACAGTAAAGATTCTGTAAGCGTATGAGTGCAATCGCTTTAACTCAAGGAAAAAGCGCGGGAACAAGTGCGCACCACAGCGCGCAGCTCGCAAAGTACCGCGCGAAACTCACTATAAATCTGCCTAGAACTTGCGACGTGCAATGCCATGAAGTTCGATAACTTCTTGCATTCCAGAATCTAAAGGCGATGGACAGCAATGGATTTTCTGATCCCTATGTGAAATTGCACCTGCTCCCAGGAAATGCTAAAGCAACCAAATTGACCTCAAAAACAATTGAGAAGACCTTGAATCCCGAGTGGAATGAAGAGTTGCACTATTATGGTGTCACTGAGGAAGACAAGCAAAGAAAAACATTGTGGGTACCATAAATCTATTAGAATGTGGAATTTTCATATGTGACTTTTAGGAGGATAACTGTTCTTGATCGTGATCGAATCGGATCAGATTTTCTTGGTGAGACGCGGATTGCCTTAAAGAAACTGCCAATGAACACTTTGAAAAAGTTCAACCTCTACCTGGAGCATGCCATTCCGGTTGGTAGATCTCTCAGAACGTCCATAAACTTCCTTTTGCCGTTAAATCACAATCTTTATTATCTTAGGTGCAGCAAACTCGCCAAGAAGAAGAATCCACTCGGGGGAAGATTCTTGTTGGTTTGCAATACAATATTCAGCAAGGTAGGTCCTTTTACAACTGTCTAAGATTAGAAAGGGCTTTGGTAGTTCTTCCCACACTTACCTCTATGAGAAGTCAAGTCCTGCTTCAGGGTCACTTTTTGTCACAATCAAGCGATGTGCTGAATTGTTAGGCATGGATTCAACAGGATTTTCGGATCCTTATTGCAAAGTGTAGGTTCTTTCCCCAAAACAATACCTGGACACAGTGGAACTATCTAAGAAATCTCTCTGAATATACTTTTTAGCTCACTTACGCCTGTTACTTCCAAGAATCATCGTCTGAGAACCTCCATCAAGAAAAGAACCCTCAATCCAGAGTTCAACGAGGCAAGTACTTTCCTAATATTGTCTGATACTTATTGGTCAAGCAAACAAATTAGAAGAAAGCAAGATTTTAGCTTTAGGACGGTTGTACTGAAACACAGGAAACAGAAAAGTTAGAAACAAAACAAAGAACAGAAAACAAAAACAAACACAAATAGGTAAAACATTGAGATTGCAGGAAAGGACTACGAAAAAACTAATATGCCAGTGTTATTACATGGATTATAAAAATGTGCAAGTGACTTGCTTATATATTTGTATATAATTTGAATGAATCTCAAAATTTTTCAAAAATTCAAATTGCATTGTAAAAAATCTCCTTCTCTGCAATTCGAATTGTCGCATTCGGTATATAATGTATATTTAGTTCTCATACAAATATTTACAGACACTCACATTCATCGTCCCATTCAAGGACTTGCCTAAGAAGACATTGCAAATCGGTGTGTATGACCATGATTTGGGGAAACACGATGACTATATAGGTATGTAAACGTCCACATCGTAGTATCTCTTCGAACTTTTTCTTTAGGTGGGATTGTCCTATCGGCATCTGCCAAAGACGATCGAGGCAAGCAATGGATCAATTGCATCGAAAACCCTGGCCGAACGTTCGAAGTATGGCATCATCTTGAGTTGGATAGCTAGTGTGTCTTCGTCTATCGCCTTCTATTTCAAGTTCCTTCCAGTCTTCCATACAATCCCAATCCTCATGGGATCTTTCCTTTATTCAAGTTCATCTTCTATGCTCATAAGTAGATAAAGATTACATTAACTCTGGTTTCTTCCTTTTTACAACAGTCAATTTTGATGTCACATGTTGGCTGAGGCGCTCCTTATAATGTTCACTTCTCGGGTTTCAAATTTATCGTCATCGGCCATGTGGTCATTTTATCTGTGTTAGCGTAGTAATTTTCGTGTAGTGTTTTCTGGAAATGTTCATATCGCTCTACAAGCTAATTGAGTTTGTATATCATTTATTTGATCAATAGATGGAATACTGGTGTTTTCTAATACGGCGTTAACATTCCCAAACTATTATCCAATGTAATGCGTATGATATATCTATGGATATCAATAAATATGTTTATACATGATTATTCTGCGTATCTTATTGCAACATGCAAATATTTTCAGAAAACAATCCTATTCCTATCAATCACCATTTGCTGATTTCTCTTGTTGAATTGTGTTTGTTGGGAAAAAAAGCAACTAGAAACAAACCTGTTACAAAATAGTAGCGATCGCTGATCTCACTCGTAATTCCCTACTCTTCGATGTTCGAGGCTATACAGCTGTAAAGACCTTGTATAAAATTAGAAAAACTTACGTGAATAAAAGGCTTGCCCACCTTTTTCCAAGAGAGGTGGTCATATACCTACCTAAAGCGGTTAGATTTTGATTTAAAAACTCCTCTCTGCTTTGTTAGAATTCGAGATAGCAACGATGCCGGTCCTCTTGGGGAAGAAAGGGCGCTCCAATTGAATGACCCAAGCAGCTGCGCGATCAACTGGGAAATGGTAGAATCGAAATTTGCGAAGAAATTAGTTCCAAGATGTCCATTTGCCACCTTCATGCCAAGCCCTGTATGAGCCCTCTTTGAGGATGTAGGATTTTTTTTTCAGATGAAATTTTGTGTAGAATTGGGCTATAGAAGCCTAATTTAGCATCGTTTTTTCTAATTTGCAGAGACTTTCATCGTTTGATGATCTCATCTACCGTAAAATGATTTGTGGACAACCTCTATTTTTGCTCACCGCACATTTGCCTGGTGAAAGAAATAGTTATCGTAAAGGCGTGGGACGAATTTCATCACGACTGTCTGCGCGCCACGACAGGCGGACTCGCCAAGATTTCGAAGGGCTGCTTTGAAGCCACAAGAGGCAATCTCAAAATTCGAGAACACCGCTGTATTTGTGAAGGTTCGATTTATGTGCGCACCGAATTTTTTGTTCCTAGGCGCTTTCCTTCTGATTTTATCTGAAAAAGTATTAGGATCCCAGACTTTTGCCCCACTCTGTAGAAGGGCTACTGACTGCGTGCGATCCTTTTTATGGTGACTTTCGGAGCCAGGCGATCATAGTCTCTACCCCACTAGTCGCTAGGTGGGCAAATTCGAACATGAATCTTAGCACGCCGTTTGCGGTAGAATGCGCATCTTTTGCATTTAAAGTTTACGCATGTTTTCTTCCTATCTATCAGTTGTTGCATGGTTTTTTTTGTATTTAGCTATGTCTGTAAACAAATTGGGCAACTTCGTTATTGTTAAACGATGTTATACTGCTGCGCTCATATCTTCAACTATGATTTCGGGTAAGCTCAGAGAAATGATGTAGATGGGGATTTGCGACGCTAATTTCACTAAAGCAACTCTTTAGCGCATGATTTCCTAAGGAGGAATTACGAGCAAAAACATTCGTCATTCATCGTTTCTTCATGACTATGTACCTGATATTAGGGTCGAAGAAACGAGCACAGCAGTATAGAATGTTTCTCATAACAAAATAGTCGTCAATGATAATCACGAAAAACGTTGAAACACAAAAAATCATACGCAACGACGAAAAAACAGAAATAAAAAATGATAGGCTTGAACTGCGGGCAGAAAGTGTCGCGCCCGCAATCGGCGTGCTCTTCAAGCTCGAATTTGCTCATCTAGCGACTAGTGGGTGAGGACGACTATCAAATCACTAATTTTATCCCAGAATACTTCGATAATACTAGCCACTCGTCTCCAGGAGGAGGGGGGGGGGGCGATGACATGAACGATAGGTTGTACCCACAGGCGTTGCGTAGACCACATCTTTTTCAAATCCATATTTACGCTATGACGATATTTAAGATTTGGAAGAAACGGCGGGAGCTTGATAGACCTTATTTCTTACATATCCACCCTTTCTCCAAGTCAACACAAAGCTTACATCTTCAAAAGGACAAGTAGAACATACGATTTGTTGACAACCGCAGATGTACAGTATGATAACTTACAGTTATCTTTCATCTTGATATACACCCGTCTCCAGAGTTGGGATGGATTTGATGTAAGTTCTTCATTTGTTATGGAGGGGGGACGCCAAAGCTGCCATCAGACCTTTCACTAACTGATTTGTTTCTACTCAGTACATCTATTCGTGACTCGTATAATGAGTTCACATCAGTTCATCATCCAGCATTACGCCATTACACAGACACACCTACATCGACGTGAAGAAAGGTGTACAACAAAGATAACATATTGCCGACATTTGAGCACGTCAATCATACATTAGAATGAGAAGAGGAAGTTATAATTGATTAGATGGTGGGCGAACTACATCATATGACTTTGCTAATGGTATCATCTTATAAGGAAAGCTACCTAACTTAGCTCGGCTTTTTGGTGGAATATACGTATTTTCGGAACAGCTTGAAGCGCTGATTCCAAATATGCGCTGCCCATCATTCTGAAGCGAGCTATAAGCTTCTTCCTGCGCAGAATTGGCATAATGACTCATTGGCATCACGGCATCATCAACCAAATGCTGATAAACTTGCGTTTCATTTTCATTTTCATTTGTACGCTCAAGGCGCTCCAATACAAAAGAAAAAAACACAAAACACAAATCGAGAAGTTAGTGATACAGCGGAATCTTATAAATAAAGCTGAATGTCTGTTTGTCTGTCTGTCTGTATGTATGTCTGTCTGTCTGTACGTATGTTCCGAATGGAAAATTCCATTTCTGAACCGATGCGGACCAAACTTGGCACACATACACTTCGGGCCCCGGCGGGTGTCATAGACTACTTTTGTCATTGATCGATATCGATTTTATCGATTTTTTGCAAAATTTGAGCTACAGGGCTGAGAGTTGGCACAGGGGGGTGATTATTGACAGGGCCGGGCGGAGCCGGGTAAGCCATCTAGTAAGCAATAAACGAATGCAGACATCATCATATCAATCCGAGTCTAATCCTAGTCAGACTAATGTAAGAAAGATGAAACGGCTTGCATTAAATATGTTGATAGGCTAATAGCTAGATATGTATAAATATGTAGGCATTGGTAGGCATTGATACTCATAACTCCAAAAGTTATAACTCCAAGGAGATGGGACCCATGCCCCCTCGTCGCCAGCGGAACGATCTTTGTATTAATCTTAAAAGCAAACCACAGCTTATCAGGCGGGTCTACTGGCACAGGTATAATAACCATAACCCCGCCTAGCCGGAATGCTGGGGAGGCCCAATGACCCCAAAGGTGAAAAGATTCACGTTCAGATCATCGCGTTAAGCTTTTTTAGTGAGAAAAGATTGGTATTTGTGTTATTTCGATATCTCAGCACCTTTTTCTTGCAGATTTTTATCTACAGGCAGTATTCCCATGTTTAATAGTATGCCAATCCTGTATAAGAAAAAGCCCATAATCTTCAAAATGGTGTGCGGCAGCTAAAAATAGCATATTCCGAATCAGCGTTTGGAGCTATTTCAGAATATATACAGAGTGTCCCAAAAAATGTGCACACTGTTTGATTGTAAATAACTCTCTTGTGATGAAGTGTTTCGAGAAGCTTTAGGTACCATTTTGTAGAGCGAGGTTCAACTTAGATTTACAGTGTTGTGCGAATCGCTCATTCTTACTGTAGAATTACTGTGGAAACTTTGAAGAGGGTTTTGAGCCATGAAAGGCTATATTTTGTTCCAAAAAGGAACCAAAACAACCTGAAAACTTTCACACTGGGCTAATTAGAGTTGCTGATTCTGAATGCGAAGTTCGCAATTTTTCTTAATGCTTCATCAAAAAATTATGCGAGGTAAGCAACAGCGGCCATTTTTTCAATGTTCCTGAAAAGGGCGGTTACACCGTTTAGAAAGCATCGCTGCCTTGTAAAGAGTTGGGTATTGAACTCAGCGTCCATGAAAACATTACACAAGTTTCCATGTAAATCTAAGTTGAACCTCGCTCTACAAAATGGTACCTAAAGCTTCTCGAAACACTTCATTACAAGAGAGTTAATCACGATCAAACAGTCACATTTTTTAAGACACCCTGCATATGTCTTTTGCCAAAAGGGCGAGCTTAATTAGGTGGCTTCCCTTGTTAGTAGCTCACGCTACAGAGCGGATGTTACTCCAAATAGCCGAATGCTCAGAAAAAAATTGTTTCAGGCAGAAGACGATATGATAAACGACCACTCTTGAAAATGAGCAGAGGAAACAAGCTCGGAAAGCATACCATGTGAGGACATAAAAGATAAAAATATAGGCTGTTTCGGCATCCACCTTTTTAACTCGACAGCCCTCCACGTGCGCATCGCAAACGTGGATCATGAGGAAATAGAATGAAATGTGTCAAGACCATTGCATGCGTGTTTACAGAGTTTCATCCAAGTGAAGGGGAGGACGAATTCAAATTTGACATCAGAGATCTGAGATTAAGGACGCTGCTATGTCAAACAAAATAAAGAAAAAGAGAGCCAGACAGAATGCGCTTTGACGACGGTTGATGGACTGGAGCTGGACCGATCAACGCATATTATTACTGGATTTCAAAAGAGGAGAAGAAGATTGACGGCTGATCTTTAGACACGTTTAGAAAGTCCTCCAATGAAAAGCTTCGAGGTGTTTCTTGAGTTCCTAGTGCGATATGTAGACTGCGGTCAACAGTCACCCGCAACAGGGACAAAAGCATCACTGGTCAAGTTACACGACGTTCAACGAGGAAGCAGGTAATGCGAATAAAGCCTTGGATTAGAACGTTAAATTACCTGCTCCGACCTGGTAGCACTTGATGATCATATTTCTAAAAAAAAGAAACCATTTAACCGATAACGTTGAGATAAACCTCACTGTTTCTACGTTATAGCTGCCGGTTGGTTGTATACCAATTACATTAGAACAACGGTCTACTTCTAACTACACGCCTTAAGTTATCCGGATGACAAATGGTCGCGGAAAATCCTCTTACACCTTTAGTGAAAGCGTATTGGTAAGACTTTTTCAATCTAAGCGCCAAGGCAGATGGCGATTTTGAATTATCATGACTTCATAAAATACTAAAACTCCTTTCGAAATGGCTGACTAAGTAAGCATAGGTTATCTTGTGACTAGGCTAAGCCATAGTTTGCGACTATAAGTGAAGCTAGATTTAGGTTGTTCACACCTAATTTTCGAGCCGACACTGGCAGCGCCACATGTCACACTGACTTCTAGTCAGTTACTCTATGGCTCAAAGTAAAACTATATTTGAACCTTCTAATCACATCTCCAGCAGCTGCTGTGTTTGCAAGGTCCAGTCATCACTTGCAGAAGACAGGTCTTTGATGGGTCATCCCTCTCGGCTGTTTTAACCGTCCCTCTAAAATGGATAGTACATCTACGAAATGATTGTCAAAAACAAATTTTGGAAACTGCTACTTACTCCGTTTCATTTCTCGTTCCTCTAGCCCACTGTAAGGTTGCAAACAGTGGAATCCTTTCCTCAACGAAAATGGATTCAACCGACCTCCAAGATCTAGTCAATAACGCATCCAGAAGAAAGTAAGTTGTATTGAAAAGCCGTAGAGTGAATCCTGCATTGGACCCCTGTGCTCCAGAAAATCTACTTGTACAACGAGCATTCCTTCACATAGCACGAGCATGCACAAATGGCTTCCTATCATTAGCCATGATGCTCAATTTACTTGCGCTCAAAGAGTCAAAACTGACTCTCAAGGAGTTCGTAAATTATCAAACAAATGATGTTTCATGTTGAGAGTTCAACTTCGATGAAGTTCAATCCGTAATGCTCCTATGCATTGTCTCAAAGAACGTGCAGTGTCCACAGCATAATGCTACGACACAGTGTCAGACGACATAAACTGTTGGCCAAAGCCGTCGAGATCTATCTTTGTACGAGCTTGCATCCAGAAAGCAAAATTATTTTCAGCTTCAGAATGAAAAAACAGGTAGATAGACGCGGATGTGGGGAAGAGTAGTGCGTAAGTCACTGCTAAGGATTTTCATTCTTTCTACATACAGTGATTATATTCTGGCGGTGGCAAGGTGCTCTGTTCAAAACTGCCAAAGCATCAGCGGAGGATTGTGCTCTTTCTGGCTTCTACTGCGACTGCAGTACGTCCGCTACGGCTCTACTTCTGCAGTGTCACAAGCTCAGCTCGTGTTGACCTTACTGCTGCATAGTATCCGGAAGACGTTCTCCGCATAGCCGTAAAGACTACGCTTCAACTTACAAATATGGATCACATTATTCTATAAGCTGCTGCACGACGAACGCGCAATATTTCTGAGCGCGAAGCACCCCAACCTAGCACTGAAAAAGCGCTAATTCTTGCTTTGTACTAGGCCTTCATCTGCATGTTGTAGTAAATCTCGTTAGCAAAATGAAAATTCAAGATCCTTCGTTGAGTACAGCTTTCCATGTCCTAATCTTCCACTCTGTTCACAGCAAAGTCTACTGTTTTCGGTCGAGATTATTGTCGGAATTGATGTGTGAGGCTCATCAAATTTCCATGGTGCAGCAAGCAGATCCTGGTTTTTTACCACATTCAAAGGTAGTACTCATTATTACCCAGATCACTTCAGTTCCGTTTGATTTTTTTTCTTGTATAGATGCTCCTCATGGAAGAAATACTTCGTGTATATAGAATGGTGAATCCAACATGTGCGGCTACTCCAATTTCTTCTTCTTGTTCACCGCAAAAAGACCTCAAAGAGGTAGCTCCGACAGTAGACGCTCAGGAACTATCACAATCTTTGATAGAAAACATGAACAGAGCGTTTAATTGCATAACAAATACGAAACACCCAACAAGCAATCAGACGGTAATATATATTTGAAGCTATAATAATATGATTATCTTCGATTAATATTCAGAACATGTATGAAGAGCCACACCCTCAAGCAGTTACTATGAACGAGAAAGTTTTCATTCCAAAATTACATGGTCGTAGAATCAAGGGGTAAGCAATCGTGTTACAGGGCTCTGTCAATGCAAAGAAGTGAGAACATGTAGCCTTTGATTCAAATGGCTGGAAGGCGGGGCTTCGTAATTTGACCAAAGCTAGAGAATGATCAGAAAGCACGGCGGGCGTGAGCGGCCTTAAGGGCCGGGCATACTTCACGCGATTTTAGTCGCGACGCGATTTGGCAGTTCGCCAGAAGTCTTCGGATCCAACATTAGCAAACTGTAAAAGCGTAGTGTGTATAACTTACGTGGCTTGATAATATGCCCTATCTTCTGTACATTTGAATTTGAAAGTGTTTCCAGTGAGTTATGAACAGTTGAATATTGCCAAATCGCGTGAAGTATGCCCGGCCCTTTAGTTAGGTCACAAAGCCCCGCCTTCCAGCCGCCCATCCAGTTGATTTAAAGGTTACAGTAGCGATCAAAAACGAAGAGTGCTAATCACAAGTTCTACAAACACCATGAGCTATTCCTGTCCATTCTTTTGCAATACAAAAAAGAGCCGTTCCCATTTTTAGGTCAAAATGCAACTTTATCGGAAGAATTATTGGACCTGCTGGAATGAGTGTCAAACAATTGGAGTCGGATACAGGGTGTCATATCTTAATAAGAGGAAAAGGAAGCGTCAAGGTAAGATAGTGTAGCATAATAGGTTCTCCAATAAAAGCCCTACTAAGAAGTATACAATCATTTCAAACCATAGATCCTGGGTGGTCGAGATTCAAAACAAACTGATAAGCATTTCAGGACCCTAGGAAAGAACAGCGTCTTCGCGGACAACCAGGATGGGACCATCTCGAGGAACCTTTGCATGTTCTCGTCACCGCTGTAGACCATAATAGCATACTGTGAGTGATCGTTTACAATATCATGAATATCAGTGTACTTACACTCCACGTCACAGATGTCAACAGAAACTTCGCCAAGGTGTAGAAAGCGTACGTAATCTTCTGACGCCTGCTCATGACGACTATAAACGTTGCCAATTGATGCAACTTGCGATTATCAATGGAACATATCGCCAATCGCAAGAAGAGTCGTCAAACGAATGACAAATCCGTATTTATGCGAAGAACGAATTTCCATTTTATTTTGCGAATGAAGCATTGAGCTTTAGTGCATAAACAATGAATGCGTATAGGCGAAATCAGTTTATAAAATACTTCATATTCAGTGTACAGACCCAACAGAAAACAACGGGCGATAGCGGAATCACACACTAGAAAACCCAGAGAAACGAGATAGTTGAGCCTAATCTCATGTATACAATTTTATCAATTCTTCTCCCACTGCAGCTGGTGTAAGGATGCCAAGATCAGTGAATAAAAGGTTGATGTACTGAAAGACATTGAAATCAGAAAAAAGTCAAATAAAGTATAAGTACTGTATCTAAATCCAGCTCTAATCTCAGTTCGGTAACCATGAGCTATATTAGTCTGTTAACTAAATTTCGCAAACTTTCTCCATGACTTTTCTCTTTTTATGTGGTACATTCAAATACTGAGGCTATGGTGACTATGATGTGACCTAGAGATGTATCAATTTGTTCCAAATTCTGGCAATCCTGGTAAGAATACGGTATGTGAACGGTAAAAAGAAAATTTGCGGACCGCTCCAGAGCATTATGTCCCAGCTAAGACTTAGTCTAGGAGGGTTCTCGACATGCTGACTATGAAAATCATACTCATTTTGCAAGACAATGCATTTTTTGTACTTTCACAGTAAAAATTAGTTTGACGACAAAAAAATGACAGTTTGTTTAGCATGCAGAACTACCCTGTGCTGCAAAGTCGCAAATTCTGAGGTTTTGTTCACTACTTATTGGCGGATGTCGACATCAGTCTTGCGTTCAGCTGAGTTGGTCAACTTTCCGAGGGCGCCAAATTTCGAACAGTCTCCGATTACCATTACATTTTTTACAAAGCTAAAAGGGCCAATCTCTCACAATAATTCTGCAGTAGTTCTGGTTCGATATGTTTAGTTTAGGCTGCGAGCCGCTCCATCTTTGCATCTTTTTAATCTAATGAATTTCCAAGTATCAGCAGTTTTAGAAAAAATACTTTGATGTTTTCCCATTTCGTTATTAAAAATCAAACAATTTATGCTCACCCATAGCACGCTATGAATCTACATAACACCAAAGTTTGAGCGGGCCAAATTCAAAAAGAGGAAAGTTATGAAGAAAGATGTGAAACTTAATTAATAATTTGATAAAAGGTACGATATTGTCAGCCGGAAATGCCTAGAAAAGCAAACAATTATACTCACCTGCGGAGGAGTATAGTCAACCATTGGATGTTCAACGGAAAGGTCTCCTTTTTCTAACACCGATGTCCGATACTAAAAAACCAAGATACATGAGGTAAACTACATGACGATTGTATGCAATTCTCTTACCTTGAACTCTTCGGGTATATCCGCCTGATTCAATGGATATTCTTTGACGAATTTGATACTCTCAGCCATGACAAAAACAGCTTTGTTCATAGTTTTTGCACATATGGCAACATTTAGGGTTCCAATCTGTAAAGAGTTGCAAAAACAGATCAAAACGTGCCATTGCTGCACAATCCCTTGCTGTGAAAAAATTCGAGCAAATCGTACGGGAAAATGTGCATTTCAAACTCACTTTATTGATTATTCCACCTGTTTCCATGACACCTTCTGCACCAACAACGACCATATCGATGCGTTCCATCATGTATCTTCAACGAAAATAAAGTGAAAAGATCATACAGTACACACAATATAACGGCTCTTACCCCACTGCACTATCTAGAATCAGAGTAGCTTTTATTCCCTCCTTGCGAAGGGCGTCACACATCAATCGACCCGAAGCATCCGGCTGCGATTCCGTCACCTAAAGAGATCTATGCGACTAACTGGAAAACGTTGGAATCAGAATGTTCAATAAACATGAAAAAAACTCAAATAAGCCAATAGAAAACACGTGAGAGAATGTACTTATCGTACTTATCAGAAAAAATATTAGGTAATTAACGTGCTTACCCAAACATGAACTACAGTACCAGTTTTGTGAACCGTACTTAACGCTTCCAACACAACTTTGCTATATGAGTGCGTTAATATGTTCTGAAACACATAATTGTTTGAGGATTCTCTATAAAAGTGCTCATTCTTACCATATTGTTCCTGAAAAATGGCCTAGCATGCCTTGCAATCATTCCTCTGGATTTTCCTACTCGTTCTATAAAAGTCTTGCCTCGCTGTCGATAGAATGCTAGGACTTTCGAGAAATCGCGTTGGTCGAGCAGTTCAGCAGGAGCTAATGTAATGAATCTAAATCAGTAGATGTATAATTGCTATACACAGGAGGTGCATTGTGAACCTTCTAAAAAGATCGCTTGCGCTTCGTATGGACGTGGAACTGTAGTCCGTTTTCGCCATTCCATTCACAATTTCCGTCAATTCTTTGTTCAACTCATTCACCGTGGTCGCTAAAAAGGAAAACCGTGCAAAATATAAATCTAGAATCTATTATTCATCAATCAACAAACAAAATAAACTGTAAAAGCATATGAAAGTAGTACCTCTGCTATTTTCAAGAGCTGTGAGCAATGTCTCGATTGCCGCCACACCCACCGATTTCGACGGATCATTGGCAAGAAGTTGTGAAAATCCTTCAGCTGTTCCCAGACAGCTCGTTGTCGGTGCAGGTGTCATCAACAGCCTACTGCAATTTGATTGAGTATTCTCTTCGAGATTCGTCCTCCAAGATACGTCTGTCAACATGCAGCAAACAATTTTTCATTGATTTTCATTGAAAGCAACTTTGCTGTTTCGGTAATAATGGCGTGATATAGGAGCCCTACACTAGAATTCCCTAGGGGAAGAATACCAGGTTACCCTGACAAAATATGACATGTATCACTCGACTCGTCTTCAGATGCCGATTTCAAATCTACTTTCCGGCAAAAACTCTCCCAACAAAGTTATGGGCGTTTGAACGTTCGGATTTGTCAAGTTTTGAGTGACAGAAATTAGCGAAAAGCTGCAAAGTATATTGACAGCAAGGAAGGAACAATCCACTGGAAATCCACTTGGTGTTCTTGTGCCCTTTTCGCGAATATGCCACGTAAGGCTCGATAAATTTGAACTTTCAAACGCTTAGGACTTCTTTCGGAGAATTGCTCCGCGAAAGGTGTCTACATATCCCTTTTCGTTTTCTAGGTAAATTATATCCTTCCCCTATCAATCTGTTACGACTTTCGTGGAAAAAAATTTCCCGTCCCTCATATCAAATCCTGTTTCAAACTTCCGAAAACTCTATAGCATGTCATTTCGATAGGACTAAATTCAAAACGGAGGCCACTATCACTGTTGGGTCCTCCCTACCCCTGCCAATGACCCCACGATTGATATTGCTTCCTCAGAAATCCTTTTCATGCTAAGATGAGCCCCAAGAAGTAAGAAGAACCTAGCGCTATTTTGACCAAATATTTGCAGTTTAAAACTTTGCGTATGTGATTTGAATGGAAGTCAGTGGCATTGACGTAATCGCTACAAATAATGCGACAGCAACAAGGATTGAAACATGTAGGAACAGCGCACAGAAAACAAACGATGCAAACCAAAAGCATTGAAAGTCAATTTCAACCATTTTTGCCTCACTGTAACGCGAAAAAGTCCGCAAAACTCGTGCAAATGTGACTAACCGTGACAGCTGCGAAGACGAGGGCTGCGGCGATGGTTGTTGGAAGTGGCGGACGTGTTCGTGGGTGGGATCTTGAATCTCTTGCTTGATGGCGGTTCGAACGGTTTTCAGCGGTGGTGGTGGAGGTTCTGTCTCGGGGAATTCGAACTGCGGTCGTCGTCTCTTTGCTTTTCGATTCGTTCGAATTAAACTTCGCAGTGTATCTCGTCCACCAATATGTCCCATCACTAGTTGTTTCACCATTTCTTGACGTTCTTCCTCGCCAAAATGTGCTGAAAATTCCTGAGTATTGCAATGAAAAGTTCCTAAGATTTGATGATGTAATCTGCCATGCATTTTCAAAAATCTTCTACAAAAACCAATAACCTTTCGTTTGGATATTCCAAAAATTTGGTTTCAATTTCAAATTCTATATTCGATCTCGAAGCAATCGATAAAGAGACATGTTATTCATTCTGAGACTAAGAGACTCGAAACGCTTCGCACACATTGTCAATACAAACTTGATCATGTGTTAACAAGTTTATACCTGTGATTAAATGTTAAAATCGTTCGTTACTTGAAAACAGGGAAGAACAAGTTCATGCTTGTTTAGATGAGGTGTGCAAAGCGGTTTCGAGTCTCTTAGTCACAGAATGGATGATATTCAAGATTGTTTTTGATTGAGAAAGTATAAACCATGCAATTACAGAGTTAACGTCGATGAAGTTGTGCACACCTACCATATTCAGGTTTATTGATCGCTTTTAGCAAGTCTTCCTCGACCTCTTCCGGTGTGCCGGCGTCATCATAATTCTCTCTGATTTCATTAAACTTCGCAATAATTTCTCTTCGCATCATCGACCGTGGATAATTGCGTGGTTCGCAGAAGTGCGGATGCTCCGTACATGTGGGGTCGCTCATAAAATACCCGTTCTGGACCCGTACCGTTGGCACAACCCCGTAAAGTCGTGGTGCACGGTCTTTCAGTGCTCGACAAGCCGTGCAAACATAGCTAGCGATATTTCCCTGACTGTTGAATCTCTTAAAACTGAATTCCATACATAAATCAGGATCTTCTGGCAGCACATAGACTGCGATATCTCGTCCACGTTGTTGCGATGGCTTGAAGATTGCTTTCACTGGAGTGTACGTGGCCATCGTATGCGGTGAACGTCGAATATCCGAGTTAGAAGTTGGGCCGAGATAGCTGTAGACGTGCCGCTAGCGGACGAGTTCGAGACGATTAACGACGGACGACAGGCAACGAGAGTCGTGCAACTCGTCCCGCGCTTTCGCGCAGAGACGCAGAGTTACACGCGTCCTCGGTCGCGGCCGTTTTCGACCGAGTGGTGATCGACTGGGCTCGTAATAAGCAGGCCCGAGAACGCGTGGACATTGCACCTGTCGTAGGGGTCGACTGCATGTGATGTCCCTAACGATAACCTCTAGATCAAAAAGGCCTACTACTCACTACAGTACGATATAGTAGGACCCTTTCCAGATTTTGGTAGGTTTAGGTAGTAGACCCCCAAATACAGTGTATACCCACCCACCCTCCAATTCCTGCGCTAACTCCTGAAAAGGCTCTTTGGAAGCCCACAAATGACCCCCATGCAATAAAAGTAGGCGGGGTTGGTGTACTTTTGAAGCGCTTTTCAGAACTTAACGCAAGAGAAGGGTGGAATTGGGACACAGTGTACTTGGGCGGTCTATCACCTGACCTACCGAAATTTGACAGCGGTCCATTTTGCTGAGATTGCCTTTAAAAGTTCAAAAAAAGCTCTCACAAGTGGATACTTACCCTTTATTCTATGGGATTGGCGGGCGGAAGGCGACCGCTCGCACCTGCGGCGCAGTCTGCGTCTCCCCCGGAGCGTGCTCTCTAATCATTCCCTAACCTCGACTCTTGAAGCCCCGCCTTTCAGCAGTCAATCCCGCTTCATCAAAAAATAGTTCTGAGATAGGCGTTCACAGCTTGCTGAAATGCTTTGATTTAATGTTCATGCAAAGCAATGGCATATGTGTACCGTGCCGCGGTCGCAACGCGTAAACTGCTCTCTGACGAGTCTTGATGTGGGAGCAAAGCAAAGAGTCATCTGGTTCATGATGTGTGTACTTCCTATACTAACAGTACCCGTTAATCTGAAAATGGAAAATTCAAAAAAAATAAAGGTGGGGCGAACTCACAGCACGGGAAGTCTTATCGATTAAGTTGAAGTTAAAGTGACCAAGATCAAAAAGTCGACCCAATCTCCTCACTTTTTTTCTCGCACGTTTTATCGAGACAGAAGAAAGCAAAAAAGAGATTACTTCTGGATTAGAGTAAGTACTGCTTATCTCTATACGGGCGGCACTTGTTCCTCGGATTGATGGGAGCTTTGCATTCTGATGAATTTAATTCCAAATTTTTGGCTGTCATGAACAATATGCGACGTAAGATGCTTCCAATTCCGTTCCCATTTTTCCCTTAGGTAAGGAAAGGTTGCAGATACTAAAGGAAAACTTCAAAAATGCTGGGATTGAAATTTATTTGTTTGTGAATGTATGCCTAAGAAATACGCTTTTACCCATTTTCTCTCCACCTCTCCTCCTCACAATTTCCAAGTATAACTTGAGATACGGGTAATCCCCGAATGTTGACATTATCCCTTCTCTTTGGCAGCGTATCTGAGCTCACCATTTAATTAGATTCGCTTTATCTATACGCGCAATCTGCAAATGACATGTTTAGCTGACCAATCATCGGGTTTGAGACCGCCTCGCACCTAGGTATCAGAGGTGAACTTCGACTGAAGTGTTGAGACTTTACAAATCTGAAGTTTTTGGAAAAAAAATGGAATTCTTAATGAATTGCGGAAGTTATCGCGAAGGAAAAGAGAAAAGATGAAAAGATGAAATTTATTTCAAAGATTTTGGATTGGTACGGCATGTTCCACAAAAATTGTCGATCATACCCCAAAAAGGTACGCATGTTTATCAACTGGTAACTTCTTGATTCAATGTTCCTTATTACCAAGATGTCAGAATGGAGCGAGGACCAATTTAGACTTGTAGTACGGGAAATCATCGTTGTCATCATTGAAGTCACTGAAAAAATCTTGGATTTCCTACCATCGGAGCCTGAGTCACATTCTAAAAAAGTGCTAGGGAAACTCGTACTTTTCTTTCGGCTTCATACAACGCCAAGTCTAGAAAATACTACAGATATACTATTAGAACAGTACTTCCAATAATTCCCAAACATCCTGTCATAGATATGGCACGGATGAATACTAAGCAAGCTTCAGTTCTTATCAGCATATTTGAATTTCGCACGTAAAGCTCTTTTCATTTTTGGAAACTCTTGCCAAGTTAATTGATCCACTACATATAAAATGCTTCTACAGTAGCCCAAAATGACAATGATGGTATACTGTGTCTATTATGTAATTCCAGAATGGGACCTGGTTACGCAGTTGTTCTTATACAGAGAAAGTTTGATAAAAGAGTCAGCAGAAAGTGTGTAGATTTTCAAAGTATTCCCATATGTTTTATGAGAACTGTTGCTGTTTTATGATAGGCGCACTCCTGTGCGTTTAAATATATAAACAAATGAACAAATATGGTCTGTATTTTTGGCAATACAATGATTTTTCATGTGCAGAATATTCATAGAAAACAATCAATTTTCAATGCTTTACGGTTTCTCGCAACGATTTTGAAAACTAATAAGTTCGCACAACTTCGAAGAGAGATCATACGATCTTCGTTAAAAACTTCAGAATACTGACTATTCTTGATTTTTTTAAAGAAAAGTGATATTTTCAGCAACTGAGCTGTCAGCTGTCTCTCTAATTAAGAATCTCTCTTGACTGAATCTCAAGAGAGGTCTCCTAGTTAATTGAATCTTAATTCAAGCAGGAATTGCGAGCACCAATATCATTTCCATGCAATTCGAAAGCTTAAATCTTCTCATACGAGCGTGCAATAGTTTTGAAGACTTACACATTTCAGCCATGTATACATCGTTCAGTAAGTGATGTTGTCGAAAAACACAAATCTCTGAAGAAGGGAAAATATGGCCGGTGGAAATATGTTTGCAGTTTTTTTGTGATTCAAAAATTCAAGCATCGGTTGCAATCTCGATTTACAATATAAGTACCGCGATTTTTGTTCACTAAATGCTGTAACGTGAGTAAGTTCTTCTAGCATAGTTTTTCTTGAAAAAATTGCGTCATGCAATCCATCTAACAAGGGAAGGATACTTGGTGACCGTGGCCTTTTGCAATGAGATGTATACCAGTAGGTGCGTCTTGAAACGTTGATTCTAAATCTATGTTCACTATCTGCTGTGCGACTCCCTGAACGAAGTTATGGACTTTTTTCCATATTGGTTTTGCGAGATTTAGGCAATCAAAGTCGTCAGTATTCAAGCTTTTTAGACTCTGATGTATTGGTGACAGTTTTCCTGAACTTAACCTGAAGCTCTACTTTATCTGTATGCTCTTTTGGAGTGCGTAAGCGAACTTTCTAACGATATTGGTAAATTCCGCATCAAAAACAGTGCAAATTTCGGTGACAAGAAATGTTCATAACTTCTTTCGGAAGAGCGCACAGCAGATAATGAAAACAGATTTGGAATCAGCGCATCAAGTTGCATCTAATGGTACACGTTTCATTTTAAAAGGCCACGGTCACCCAGTATCCTTTCCTTGTAAGAACATTGAAAAATTATTGCTGTTTGATCTTTGCATGTTATCGTATACTTCATGCCAAAAAACGAAACAGGAATCATCAATTTTTGCTCTCCCCTTCCCTCCCCCTTCAAAATGAACTGTTGAACTTATTAGAGTTTAAAAAATTTGCAAGAAACTTATTTTCACAATAAGAACAATTTTTGCAGTCTATGAAAAGTTCACACTAGTTTTTGTCATGGAAAAAAACCTGGGAAAGCTTAGCGAATTTCAGTAGGAGGTCTTGGAGTGGGATCTCAGTCTCAACCCCCTACTCCCTTGATGAAAATTCGGACTGCCACAGCCACTGATCGGTGCAAAAGATAAAGTTGTACGATGAGTACTTCACGAGTACCCTAGATCAGAAGTACTTCGTACTTTGGACAATAACACTATTTGTACTTAAAATTCATCTGGCGTAAATAAAAGGTATTTACGTCAAAAAAATCAAAATCAAATATAATCATTCACCAAAAAATATATATGAGTGTTAGCCTTTGCTGTCAATGTTTTTGATGAAAAATAAGAGAAACTTTAGGTCTTCTAACATTCATTTTCGTCAGTGAAAATAAGCTGAAAACTGCTAACCCTTACCATGTCCTTTCCTTCACGAATTTGTGCCTCTTTACTTCCCTTCCATCTTGTAGTATCGCAGAAAAGTAGGTAGGGACTACCTTCCAAAACTGGTTTTGGAATGTTCGACCTCGTGGCTGGAAAAACCATGTGACCGAATAGCTCTGAGGACAAAGTTCCTTATGTGAAGTATGTCCTGAATGTGGGAACTCCATCTTGTAAATTTATTTGTTTATTTTCTAGGTAGATAATTGAGTTCGGAGGGTGAAAAAAGGTGCACAAAATTAATTCTGGATCTAGTGTGTTTATCTTGATTGTTTGCTACCAAGGCAAAAAGTGGATCTCTTAATAGATTTCCACACTAATTGGTGCTTGTTTACAGAAGTTTGCAATCAGCCCCCTCCCTCCCCCCCCCCCCCCCCGTCCATCGTTCTTTCCCCTATCTTTATCGTTGTGTCTCTTGGTGGCCTGTGATGTCTCTACCTCTCTGACTTGTTGTTTACTTCCTGATAAACACTGCCTATGCATGTTCGTTCTACCCCTCTTTCCCCCCCCCCCCCCCCCCGACACTATTTTATCGCCCATATCGTATTGTCACGTGGGAAATTACAACGGTGTTCATCGCATAGGCACAACACAACCCCCATACACATCGCATCGTCACCAACCTGCCCACCCTCCCGGCTCCTTGTCGCGGCGATTTCGCTTTCATCTTCGTGCTGTCGGATAGTTGGTGAAAAAACCAAGAAGAACGTGACAACAAGCGGTTTTCCATCATTTCCATCATCATCCATTACTATTGTTGAGAAATTTCGAGCTGAACTATAAAGATGCGATTACCATCATCGAAGGTAAGTAAGTGTTAATTACCGTCTAACAGTCGTGTCTCAACAAGGTTGTCTCCCCATGTGTGAAACTCTCAAGAAGGCGCTCTTGTAATTTGAATTTGCACTGCCTCCTGAATTCTTCTTAATTCTGATCACCAATATTGTGTTTTCTCTTAAATCGACAGCAGTGTGAAATTCATATGTATGTAGAAACATTACGTAAATCTTCGAAACTTACAATAGAACACTGATCATTTACCAGTCTATGACCTCTTCACAAAAGACTGACAATTTTTGAGTAAAAAAGTGAAAAAGTGCTTCTGAATTTAGCGGGGGGGGGGGGGTGGGATACACCGAACGGGTCGCTCTCAAACTCTCTTCAGATAAATCAAATTAATGTCAAATTTTACGATACAGCTGATAAGAGAAGGTTCGGTACGCACTCAATACAGTTTTATTTCCTCCTTTCAAAATCAACCCCATGAAGAAATTACGATAGCCTAGTAGATAGAAATTTGCAAGAAATGATTTTCGGTCAACACTTGCACGCGTTTACTCTTGTTGAATCTTTCTTATAATTTAATAGCTTATAATTTAATATTGTACTAAATCCTTAAACAATTGAGAGGAGCATTTGCTTATTCAAACCTTTTTAGCATTTAGTTCCTCCTCTGGAAGATACAAGACTACCAGCAAGAATTTAGCGGAACTTTTCTCTGACAAAGCGGTAACTTTAAAAGCAGCGAAATAACTTGGAAACGCACCTTCTTTTGCGCATATGAAATCTCAAAAATTTTATCTAGGGAGAACTTATATTATGGGCAATAAAATACGATAACACGAATTCGGATACTTCTGCACGATTTGATATATGAGAGAGAAAAAGTTTTTGAACACTCCGTTTCGTTCCTTTCCTTGAAAATACTCTTACAATTCACTTTAGAATACCATGCTATAGATTGGCTAACGTTTTCAAGTGCTACTCTAAATTACAAAAAAAAACAAGATTTGCGGGGAATCATAGTTAATTGAGACATTGAATGAGAATGACACTTTTGCCGAGGTTCTTAGCCCTTAAATCCGTGATAGATGTAGGGTGGCAGATATTTACGAATTTGCATGAAGTTTTCTGTATGCAGTAGCCAATGTGACTCAAGCCAATTTTGCAAACAGTCTTTTTTGATTTTACTGAGCTTAGAGTCTATGATAGAGTACCCAGTAACTCCAAATTTATGCAAAATTGACATCACAACTATCTGCACATGCAAAAAACTTTTTATTTGAGTAAATATTGACTTGAATTTGCTGTCCTAACTTTACAAGCAGGCTATCTATTGCAATATATCATTTTCACAAAAAGTACATTGATATCTCCAAGCAAAAATAACTTTTAGCGCTTTCGTGGAATTTCTTTTGTTCAGTTTTTTCTTCTTTACGAATTACTGAACAATAAGTAGCGCTCTATTAATATTTGGTTTTTTCTTGCCTTATCAATGTAATCTGGGGCTATAAACTGCCTTTCTTTTCCCCGTTTCGTTGTTGTCTTTTTTCCACACTTTAGATAAAATCTTTCCCTACTTTGAAAAGTACATTCTTTCCTCGAATCTGAGTAAGCGTAATGGTTTCATAAACACAAAACAAAGTTGTAATGTAGTTTTTGAACTATAATCCCGACATTACAAGACTTGCGTCACGTCTCGGATGATGAAAACAGGAACCTTTGAAGCGAAAACAACTGGTTAAAAATCGTCCTTCGATTATTGTAATTTCATTGAACTGCAGTTCACTAATACGTGGTTCTTATCTCTTGTAGACATTAATTGATGTATTTTGTAGAATCGCAAGGAATGAACTAAAGGAAAAAAATGATTCATGAAGATACTGCATTTTAAAGGTTGATCGAAACTGGTGTATCAATATGCAGCGTACCATCGGGTCATTTGTAACTTCATATGCGTACTGCACAACATGCGCGTTACTTGACGATCTGTAGAATTCAAAACTGCTCATTGGGTGGGTAGGCGACTATATGTCGCAAAATATGTCGACGAATACAGATTCTTTTTTCTTTCCTAGTGTTCGTTTGTCATAACTAGTGAACCAGTAATCTAAAGGTACTAGATTTGCAGGATGTTCGATCTGGGAGCTGCGCGGTTGCCGCAATTACAATTTTTTGAAAATGGTAATTTTTATACAGATAGAGTAGATAGTCGTTGGCTAAGAAACTACCACAGATTGTGGAAAGAGGGTAGTCATTATCTGGCCTGTTGACTATTTTATTTTTCCTCTCATAATTTCCGAGTTAAACTTGACCCTACTTTTACAGCATTTCGCAAGACCAAGTTCAGAATTGGCCATGCTTAGATAAGAGCCGTCAAGGTAAATAAAAGATAAGCATTTATCGCAGACCAAAGATAGACTATGTCCAGTTTCACCTTGACCACCAGTAATCGCTTTTTATTTCTCTTTCCAGTAAACTAGGTAAGAGTAGGGAGTAAAGACAAGCACCTCAGTTTTAGCACTTTTGAGGCAGTAAGTAGTAAGATTGGATAAAGAATTGCTGGTTGTAAAAATCGATTCTGAAGCTAAGAGAAGACATCATTCTCAAGTGAATCACTTGAAATTCTTTGTAGTTGTTGCCTGCTTCCAAGAGGAAATTTGTTCAGGACTTTTTTGAGTTTGTCGGAGAAATTTTCATTACCTTGCCAGTCAATTATCATAACATTCTGTCACTCGTAATGCAAACCGTTTTAGTTAATTGCCCTCCGACTTTAACAAACAAACTGAATAATCTTTCTCCCGCGAAAGCAGATAAAAAGGATATGAAATGCTTGGAAATACTTTCCACGACGATTACAACAAATTGAGAGTGATTATTCCATTCGGCAATCTTCCAAATTATCGGCTCCAATTCCATAGACGGAATATTTGCTCTGCTAAATCAAATATTCCGCCTATTATTGCATCATGCTTACTAAATATCGACGAATGATGGACGAACGCACTGTTCGGACACATTTTCAGCTTCCTGGTTCTGAACTTACTTGAATCTTTGACCACTTTGCCCATTATGCGATGTGTGATTAGTGTAAATTAAAATAATGTGACCGTCTAAAAAATTTAGAAATTTGTCTTATTGTGCGGAGCACAAAAGCTTTCATCTCGCTAGCCTCATTATTCAAAATACTTTCGAAAATTGTTAGAGGTCTCCCTGTAGGTCCACAGAGCATGAATCAAACTCTGCTCGCCAGTAACCCTAGTCTGAACTTGAATGGGCAGAACTACCACCTCTCCTGACCTTACTTGGCCCAATACGGTTTCGATATCTCCTTACCCTTAAGAAAGTGAGGAGAGAATTCTGATGCTTATAGCTTCCTATTTTTTATTTGTATATTTATCTATTCTTGTTGAATCAGGTACTACTTCTCTCGTCCTTTTTTTTAGCATCTGGTTTCCCCATTGATGATCCCTTATGGGTATTGTTCCTCGTGAGTTCAAAAATCAAAATCTAAGGTATATACAGTCGAGTAGAGTTTTCCCTTAATGTAGTGTGCTTGCTCAGGAGGTGAAATGCGGTAAAATTTGCGCGTGAGGAATTAGCTTCGACTGTGACGCCGGCCAAATGCGCGCGCAAAATGCCGGCAGTGCTAGCGCAGTTACCTGTTCACGCGCAAATTTTACCGCATTTCATAAACTGTGCAAGCACACTATATTAAGCGGAAAATCCTTATATATAAAAGAATAGCAACGGAAAAGTGAACTTTTTTTGCACCGCCCGTTTTCGTTGCGGGAGCCTGGACACCGTACCCCTTTCTTTGAGTTTGATGAAAAAAAAGGCGATTGACGCGCATAAACCGCAGGTGCAATGTAGTCCCCATGGGCTAGTGGCTAAGGGGTGCGACTCTCAGTTGCCCGACCCGGGTTCGATTCCCCGCTCAGGAATTTCTTTTTGCCACTAACGTTGGCTCCAAAAAACAGCTGATTTCTCCACAATCCTTATATATAAAAGAATAGCAACGGAAAAGTGAACTTTTTTTGTACCGCCCGTTTTCGTTGCGGGAGCCTGGACACCGTACCCCTTTCTTTGAGTTTGATGAAAAAAAGGCGATTGACGCGCATAAACCGCAGGTGCAATGTAGTCCCCATGGGCTAGTGGCTAAGGGGTGCGACTCTCAGTTGCCAGACCCGGGTTCGATTCCCCGCTCAGGAATTCCTTTTTGCCACTAACGTTGGCTCCAAAAAACAGCTGATTTCTCCACAATCCTTATATATAAAAGAATAGCAACGGAAAAGTGAACTTTTTTTGTACCGCCCGTTTTCGTTGCGGGAGCCTGGACACCGTACCCCTTTCTTTGAGTTTGATGAAAAAAAAGGCGATTGACGCGCATAAACCGCAGGTGCAATGTAGTCCCCATGGGCTAGTGGCTAAGGGGTGCGACTCTCAGTTGCCAGACCCGGGTTCGATTCCCCGCTCAGGAATTCCTTTTTGCCACTAACGTTGGCTCCAAAAAACAGCTGATTTCTCCACAGATCCTATTATGTAGAAAAAATCTGGTTCTCAAATCTCAAAGATACCTCCACTTTAAGGCCATAATTCGTCCTCAAAATGAATGAAATCCAAAAATCTAAGAGCATTTTCGCTTAAGAGCTTTTCCTGTTCTTTTTACTGGTACCATTCCCTTCGACCCATCTTCAGTGGTTGGTGAGTTATGAGCCCTTAAAGTTATCGTATCGGTTAAAAATGCCGGTGCTTCTTGAATGAAATTTTTCTTGGTTCTGATGGCACACAGTTATACTTCTCTGCAACTTTGGGTACTTACAAAACGCTAAATGCATGTATAAATGTTTCCAGGTCATTTGATATTATAAGAATTCAGCGTTGTGAAAGTAATCAAAGTACAGTTTAGAATTTCCTCAAAGCGTTGCTGCAGAGCTACGACTATTAGGGCAGCAAGTATCATGGATGAAATGCCAGGAGCACGTATCGTGAATAAATTGCATTACTCTAACATTACAGCAAAGAAGGTTTCGTTCCCTTCTTTTGCTTAGGCTAAATGCGCCATAGATGTGGCGGGCTCCACGACAAATATAAACTATGTTCATTTTAAGTGCGCCAACATAATCGCAACTTTATCAAGCAGCGTAGACGATAAAGAAAAGAAAATACGGTAGGAAATCATATCATATGAAAAATGAGTTGGGTGACACTAGGGTTAAGTTCTAACATTCACTTCTTTTTTCACTGAACTTCAGCGATCACACGACTATCCGTAAACTGCCATCAATTGAGAGAGGGAAACCAAGGAGAATCGGCCAAATCAAGCGCGCTTCAATAGCAGATAACCTTTACTCCCTCTCTCACTTGCATCTTGGAAACCAAAACGTAACTATTCAATCGTTTGCATAATGTGAATGCTCATGATGGAATGTAAAGCCTAATCCTTGACAGTGGCGGTCGCTTTGCGAAGCGGATGCGAACGGAAGTTTGAGCGTCTTTCATGATTGAGATCGTACGCCCGCGCACAGCTCGTTTCCATGGGCAGCCGCTTTCGTTTGAAACTAGCTGATAATAATCTGTAAGTACAGTACGGATGTTATGAATTCACTGTGGGAATCACGGTAATTGGGCTCTTGTTGATGAAAATGTCTGAAACTTTCCCGTGTAGTGCGCATGTTAGCAGACCATGATTCAAAACTGCTTCCGGCCCCTTGAACTTTGAACGAAGAGTAGGTTGCAAAACCCCATTTGTAGCTATACGATGTTATAAATCTAGCTGCTTTTTCCGCATTACCGCGTTTTTTAACTCCCAGATCTTTTTGTACTTATGCACGAAAGCGTGAAACATTTGCAAAACCTAGGACCTTTGGTCCTGTTCACAGAAAGAGATCAATGTGGTCAATCTGCTTTCCCAAACCTGTAAAATTTTGCTCTTCCTTTTTTGCTCAGCTTAAAAGCGCCACAGAAGTGCGCCATGAAGATCCCCGACTTGTGCATCCACGAGGTGAGCGCGAACTGCGCGTAAAAGCGATCGCCGCGCGCATTTTCCATTTGTGACTTATCGGCTGTAGCATAGCATGCTACAAATAAAGATACAGAAAACTTCCAGAAAAAAAGGAGACTCGCGCTTTGGCATAAAAATGTTGGAAAAAAGGTGTTTAGTTGGACTGGATTTGCTTGCGGAGAAGTTCGAACGGTGCTATCCATGTGTCCGCGGCCCAAAATTTCAAAGTCGTGAATTTGGCTGAAATTCGGTCGAGGAATCACAAATATTACGTTCTTTTTTCATAAAAACGCCATTTGGTGGGGCAACGGTGGGTATACGTAGAAGAGTCAATTCAGTTTTGGCTGAAATTTGGTCTAGGAGGTTTTCTGAAGTGCTGATCACGAATACCACATTCATTCTGCATTCTGCGGCGCGCTTGGTCTTCAAGAATCCTTCGAACCAATGTACGCTGGGCCCTGTCTAGGGTTTGGCACGGAACAGTTGGGGGGAACGTTGTGAGCGTACTGACTAAAAGTACATTGAAGGGGGAGGATATTGTGACTTTCTTCAGTAAGCTTTTGAGAAAAGGGGGTTTTGCAGACGGGAGAGTTCCTCTAATAACGAAGAAAGAGTGGGCAACTTCACGGTGAGTTTTAGAGGCAAATACTCAGTGCATTGGCCAAGAAATTGGGAACTGATATTTTAAGGCCAGAGTGATGAGGAAATTAGGCTCTTCTAATGGGAGACGGTCATTTCGCACGGTCGGTCTCCAGAGCTATCCTGATTGATTGTCGTAACACGTCACGCACGTCGCAAATCTTTCTTCCCCCTTGCTTAGGCAAAAGCCGCCGCAGGGTGTTCCGCGCGCGGCAGTGGTTGGAAAGCAGTAAGGATGCGAATCGTCCTCACCCTCCTCTGATGCTTTGACGGAAAAAGCTGCTAACGCTTTGAGAAAATTTTATTTACACCGAAAGGAACATACAATACACCAGCTAAGAAAAGCCACAGAAAAGGAAACTACGGGAAGGATGCTGTACGAAAAGATACAACACTACTCGTTTATCTAATGCGAGGGTGAGTCTAGAGAAAAAGCGCGATGTGTAAGGTGTGCATTTCTATTTTGGAAAATGAGCTTCACTGAACGCGACATCTTAATTGACTCCAAGGTTCTTCTGCAAGCAGTCGTACTTTCGTCATCAGAACTATATGCGCAGCATGCCTTCCCAGCAGAAGCTTTCAATCAAAACATCACTAGACGAAGTTTACTAGCTTTTACGGCATTGAAAAAGTGTTATACGAGGTTTCGGTGACTCAATATAATATTTCTCACACCTGCTAGCCATTGGGCCGCTAGTCTACTCGACTGTACTCAGATGAACAATCTCAAAGTTTTAGAAGATCAGAAATCACCGTCGTCCATAAATTCTGTGACTGCACCAAAGACGATATTTTGCCGTACGCTGCTTTTTTTTCGCTGTGAATCGCAAGGAATAAAAATAGCTTTTCTTGCTTGCTAACTCATATCTTTTATCATAAGAAGTGTATTCAGTTGATGAGAGATTGGTCTCTAAGAAGTGAGGTTTCGGATAGATTTTCTGATTTTCTTGATTTTTTATTTCCTGCGTCCATTCGGTCACTTTCTCCAGCATCGCCATATCATTCTACAGGATCACATTTACTTCACTGCATAAAGTGCGAATACTTTACTTTCACTTTTACTGATGAATTTTATTTGCCGATGAGCTTTTACGCTGAACATTCGCAATTCTCTTAAAGTTCTGTCAATATTCATAACATACATCATGAAAACTCTGTAGATTTGTTTATGTTTCCTATTGTTTGCTTCAAATTCTATAAAGTCGATCTGTTAGCATGATTGATGTGTGTGAATCTGCCTCATTTTTTCTTAAGCAGAGGATTACGCGAAGCATATGTGCTTCTTGCGGCCGCTGTAAACAGCCCTCTTATAAGTGATTAAGAATTGCTGCAGCTGTGAATGCGAAAGCAGTTTATATTGAGTGTCGGGAAGAGTACGTGCGAAAGTTACTAGCAGCCAAATAATTCTGTTGTTCTGTCTTTTGTGATTTTTCTCAGACATTCTCTTTCTTCTCGCCGACTGTCACAATGCTCGAATCCCACAAACACACATTATTATCGTAACAAGTAGCACTAACTGGTTCCTTCTGTCCCGCTTCCCAAATTCTTTGGTTGATCGTCGCTGAGGCGTGGCGACCCCAGAGGCGACAGACAAGCTGTTCGAGTTCCTCCCCAGTCCCCAGCAATCACAGCGCATTTGTTTCGGACACACAGAAAGCTGTCAATATTTTCAAGCACTTTGTCTGAGCTTATTCCCAAGAATTGTCGAACTTCGTCTCATTGTATCTATCGATCATTCCATGAGCACTGCTTTCTGATTACCTCTTTTAAATTTTTCCTAAAAGCCGACGATCTATATCTTATTAAGCAATCAATTCATGCATGTATTCATGGAATAATTAATTTGTTTCAGATGCAACTTACCAGAAGGGCCTTAGGCCCTTTCGTTGGAGCAATTGCAAAGAAATTGGAACATTACAGGTATATAATTCGATATATCTTCATCTAAGATTGTTATTGTCTTTTTTGTGAGTAACAAAGGGAATTTACCGTGATTGAGCATTATTTATGTATTTTTGGTATTTTTTATTGATTTCAATAGCTCTATGTCAAAGACACTATGTAGCTTTTCATGATGTTGGTTATTTACTTCATCTGAAGGCTCTTTTGTGGGCTCATTAATCTGAGAAAGTGAACGATTTTTCCAAACGATCTGCCATTACAATGATGTCATATGTTTTTTGGTGGCTTAGAATGTCATCTGTCACATGTGATTCCAATGAGTAAAGTCTCTCATGAGCAGATGTTGTTCAGTTCAAGAAATGAATGTCTTCTTAAACTTTGTTAAATTAATTTCTTCAGACTTTTTAGTAGCTGTTAAATGGCTCTAGATAAGAAAATGTAGCAGAGGGTTAGTGAAGGTCAAAGAATTCATCTAACTGGATCTTTTGGAAATTGGGAAAACTCTTTTGAGTTTATTTGCGTTAAATGTCACACATTGTGAGAGCCCGTTGAGTCTCGTAGGCCACTATGTCATCTTGGTCATTTAAAAATCAGTTTATTTTTTGCAACTCTCGTAAGCAAATCTGTTGAGGATGTCTTGCTCGATCTGTGACTCTATCGCATCTAGAAAGGGACAAGTGCGCGAAAATTTACCTATTTTTGCTTGAATATAATTTTTTTTACCCCACCACAAATGCTGCATTCTCCCAACATAAATGTAATTGTTCTACCTTTTAACAAATGCTGCTTTCGCCTGTCTCAATCAGACAGTGCGTATGAACTTTGAAAGTGATCTAGCAGTTCTGTACAAGCTTTCCACTATATCCGCCGTTTGCTGATTATAATCGATTTCAGTCAATTCCAACCATCATCATTGACAATTCAACAATATTTGGATTTTGGACGGATAGGTACAGCAGCCACTTCATATACATTTCTGAAGAATGAACTCATGGTGCGACTTGCCAACATAATGCAGGTATCGTTTGCAAGCATTTGGCCTAGCTTTCTTTATATCATATCAATTTTAGGAATTCTCTTTATTACCTCCAAAATTGCTACAAATGCCTAGTTCAAAAATGGTTAGCAGCTGGTACTGCGAAAGTTTCGAAGATCTTCTGAAGTTCGAGAATGCAGGCGCGACTATTGAGAATGTGACTGCGTAAGTTTTCCTTAGTTTCAGTTTTTGGAGCTGTTGCTTCCTTTTTCGGAGTATACCCAAATGTCATTTTGCATATTAGATCACGTAGTTTATATCGGATCACGTAGTTTTTTTACGAAGTTTTTGGGTTGTGGTGCTTTTCACACCAACACAAAGGTATACCAGAGTTGGAAGTTTAAGTTTTGTTTCTGTTCTGACCCGTCCTGCGGAAACTCTGCATCAAACTTGATTTAATGATGTTTTTGAAAATTGGAACTTTTTTCAAGCGCTATGGGTAGATGTCTCGAAGGAGTATCCATCCAATCGGGCATGTCTTTGTTTCTAGTGCGTAATTTATCCACGTTCAGTTTCAACGATCAGCTACAAACAATTCTCAAACGACATGCACATGTAGTAGAGACAATGGCTGAAGGGTTAATTGAACTACGAGAAACGGATGGGGTTGATATCGCTAGTGAAAAAGGTTGGTCTTTTGTGACCTTTGGTTCTCGATATCTCGCTCTGAAAGTGTGGTTTTATAGGCATACAGTACTTCCTTGATCGATTTTATATCAATCGTATTTCCATACGAATGCTTCAAAATCAACATTTGGTGAGAAGTTATTTTTGTATTGTCATACCTCTGAAAAAGAACCATTCTAGTGTAGCAGTAGAGACTAAAGTTGCATATCACGTCCATGGATCCTTCAAATTTTGATCCCTTCAGGTGGTTTTCGGTAACGTGTTGCCTGAAAGTCCTAGACATGTTGGTTGCATCGATCCTGCTTGCGATGTGGAAAGCGTAGTACATGATGCTTTCGAAAATGCAAGGTGTGCATGTGTTTCCTTACTTCGTTTTATTCCATAATGATTTGGAGGGATGTCATATGTCTTGTGGTACTTCTGTGATGGTTTAAAGCATTGTTTTCAAATTTTTGACAACGTGATCCCTTCTGGCATTCATGTACCATAACTGTATGTAGATAAAACATCAAATGGTGCCGCTAGTATTTACGATACTCAAACGCACCTTCCACTCAGATCTAAGTTCGAATATATACTTACATCGTTAGACGAGACTGCCTTCTCGCATCTACATTCTGAAGCGATTTTCTGGTTTCGGAATTCAACCTTTGCTGCGGTCTTTTGGAGGTTCTGCTATCAAGTGCGTAAAATCCCACCAAATCTTGATAAATGGTGCCTTTGATATTCACTTCTGTTGCGGCATGAAACCGACTATGCAGATACTGACGAAAACCCTTTCTTAACGCCATTTCGATACAAATTGGCATCTTATGGAAATTTCTGTCTCATATGTTGCTGATTGCGTTGTCCAATTTAAGAATGATAATGTGTGGAGATTTTAGGTTTTTGTGCGATCGTTACTACCTCACAAGCCCATCCATGAAGTTGGAATTGCATAATGCAGTGGATAAAGGCAAGCCCATCTCGATTGTTGCTGTGCCAAGTCATTTATATCACATCATGTTTGAGTTACTGAAGGTATTGTTGCAACTCTTCCTGTTAAAAGGATTACTATCGATCTCAATTGCCTAGAATGCTATGCGTGCCACAGTAGAGCACCATGGTGTTGACGATGATCTTCCCGACATCAAGGTTTTTGTGGTCAGAGGACAAGCGGACTTGTCGATCAAAGTGAGCATCATCGTTATCAATATTTTACTTCTTATTTTATTATGTTCGATTGAGATTTGCGATCGAGGCGGTGGCGTCTCCCGAAGAATTTTGGAACAATTGTTCAACTATATGTACAGTACTGCTCCACCTCCTCCTAGGGATGGAACCCAAGCCCCTTTGGTAAGCAGCTTCTTTCTTATCTACGACGAGGTATTTTTGATAAGTACTCAGGAGGCTACGTTTTTTTCAATATTGTTGATGTTTAGAATTGTCAAAAATACAGTTTTTTTTGTTGTTGTTGCATATGGCTTTGCATCCAGTCGAAAAAGTTTGTTCATAGGCCGGCTATGGATATGGTCTTCCCTTGTCGCGTTTGTATGCACGCTACTTCCTCGGCGATCTTTTCCTTGTTTCGATGGAAGGCTATGGAACTGATGCTTGTGTATATATGAAAGTAAGTTCATTCTCAAAGGTTCTTAGTTTCTTAGTTACATAAATTTGCAAGATAAGAGCCAAGTTTTTATTTTCTATTTTATACATTCGCAATCCTTCAGGCAGTACCAGTGGAAGCCAGTGAGGTGCTTCCCATTTACAGCACTTCATCACGTAGAAATTTGACAATGGGGCCTCAAGTAGCAGACTGGTCTCACAATTTACCGGGACAAGGGATGAGACCTGGATGAGGAAGAGGCCTTGTCTTTCGGAGACCGCGATGTTCTGCTGACCAAGCGTACTGAGATGTTCAGGTTCGGGTGCCTCCATCATTGATTGAACAGGTCAATGCTTCAAAAATTACGGCATATAATTATCGTATGTATCATTTATACATGAAGTTATTTATTATCACAGCCTGAGTTGATATGAGTCGTTGACAAATTTGTACTGTTTCGCATGCATGTTTTATTTATCTCGGGTTTGTTAGAGAGTTTGCACTAAGGTGCTAGGTATCTCTTCCATTCATGAGTATCTAACTGCCTGATATGACTGTATATACTTAGCATTTCTGTCACCCGAACTAATCGTGGGAAAGCGTATCTGTATCTGTTGAATATACCGTCCTTTCTACTTTCTATATATGTGTTTGCTTTCCTCGATGCTGGAACTGTTCTGCGTTCCTCTTCTCTTCACACCAACGAAACTGTGTTTTGACCAATTTGCGAATTTATACAATTTGTTATCTTGATAAAATTGCAGTCTCACTAATGAAAATGTGCAGGATTGCATTGTTACCATGTCTTTTCCGTTCTCATACTAGCTTGTAAGGCCTAAGACATACCTCTCGATTTCGCGAAGTCGCCACATCTTCGCGACTTGGCGATTTGCCAGATGTCTAGAGATTAAGCCTGCGACTCTCAGATGCATGGATTGTAGATTCTGTAGATTGTAACAAACGCAGCAAGTCTGGCCCAAACAAAGTGCGTTTACGACTAGCTATGGAGAGTCGTTGCAGTGTCAAATCGCGCGGCGACTAAAATCGCGTGAGATGTGCCTTAGGTCTAACGAGAGAAGGATACTTGGTCACCGTGGCCTTTTGCAGTGAGATGTATACCAGCAGGTACGTCTTGGAACGCTGATTCTAAATCTTTGTTCATTATTTGCTGTGCGACTCCCTGAACGAAGTTATGGATTTTTTTCCATATTGATTTTGCGAGATTTAGGCAATCAGAATTGTCACTATCCAGGCTTAGACTCTGATATATCGGTGACAGTTTCCCTGAGCTTAACGTGAAGCTTTACTTTATTTGTACGCTTTTTGAGCATTCGAACATTCTAACGATATTGGTGAATCTTGCATCAAAAACAGTGCAAATTTTGGTGACAAGAAATGTCCATAACTTCTTTCGGAAGTGCGCACAGCAGATAATGAAAACAGATTTGGAATCAGCGCCTCAAGATGCATTCAGTGGTGTACTTTTTATTTCAAAAGACCACGGTCACCAAGTATCCTTTCCTTGTAAGTAAGTGCTTATCGCAACACTTGGTGGTGAGCTACGTAGAGTTGAGACCTATGTATCATAGGGTTTTGGGCGAGTTCCAGTTTGTTGATTTTTTGTGGCCGCTTCTCAACATCTTCAAGGAAGTGGCGAGCATGCATCGATGATCACCTGGAAATAGTGGAAGGCAAAAAAGCGAAACATCCTTATAGGCTAATTTTGTGGTCATCGAGAATTATATACTCGTATGTGATGGAATGACTGCCAACTGTAGAATTACTGTCTGGCCGTATGTCAAGATTTCTCAGATCGAAGCTTTCGTTGCACTTTGCACTTGAAACTTAATTAAGCTTTGTTGAGTAGGTTTTGGGAGCCAACTGGTGTTGGGGATCAAGAAAAGAATCAAGCATTAGGAACAGTTTTCCTTGCGAAAACGAACTTGTAGCTTTATTATCCGCTAACTGCATCCGAGACCACTTCGGATGGCCCAAAAGCGACGAGAACGACCTTTTTCAGAACCCTCCTAATTTGAATGAGTGGAACGCGCCGAGGCTGAGGTCCACAAGTCAGTAGTGCTAGGACTGCCCGTAGGTTGAAGGCAATTCTTGCCGAGGTTGCCTGTTGTTGAACCCTAGTGTTTCTGTGTGTTATGTGCTCTCTTGGCGATCCCGCCATCAGCAAATTCGGCAACCCCGGCAGGCAATGGCCGTTCCTTTGGATCTCTCCTTCACCGGTGGCAGGAGAGACACGCTTCGAGAGATGAAGTAAGCACACGTGAGGAAAGGTAGCGAGCTTGCGTCATGCTTTTATGGCCTGTCACAGCTCATATAGTTTACTTATAAAATCGTGACGACGGATTTCACTGCGGACTCTGCGCCGACAAGAGCATAAAACACTCATAGAAGAAGGCACCACCTCAGCGTTCAGCTCAGTCACTTCCAGTGTCTAAATATTATCATACGTAGGCAAAAACCACTTGACCAGAGATGAAAACCAAGAAAATGCGATTTCCGGAAGTGGCGTGCGTGTCGCGCGCAATCGCGCCATCGTCACGATTTTTCGAATGCCCTATACACACAAAACATATCAGAGGTCCTAGGCTACCAACCTGTCCCCTAATTCCTACTGCCAGCCATCTCGCTGCTACTCACATTGCCGACAGTGTGTATCACAGCAACTGGGGCATTACCATAGATATACCCGTCCTTTTTTCTAAAGGGACCTTCTAAGATGTGAGGTTACAGTCGAGTAGCTTCAGCGGTAAATATAGTGTGCTTGCACAGAAGGTGAAATGCGGTAAAATTGGCGCGTGAAGAAATAGCTTCGACTGTGACGCCGGCCAATTGCGCGCGCAAAATACCCGCAGTAGTGGCGTGGCTACTTGTTCACGCGCAAATTTTACCGCATTTCACCTTCTGTGCAAGCACACTATATTTACCGCCAAATCTACTCGACTGTACAATGATCACGATTGGCATACAAATAAAACTAAACCGAGGATTAGGCCTGTGGCTAGAGACGAACATTAAATTTAAGATGCCCTCATTTATATTATTTGAATCTGAATGCAAAACAACTCATAAGGGGACGATACTCGGTGTCCGTGGCCTTTTGAGATGGAACGTATACCATAACCGTGGAACGCTGGATCCGAATCTGACTTCCGTTCTGCATATCGTTTTGCTAAAAGAAGTTATGAAGGATTTTCGCGTCAATGGTGGTCCAAGAGAAATACGGTCGAGGATGCCTAACTCGTACCTATAGTTACAAATGGCTGCGAAGAGCGTGCCCTATGTCCCAGTAAAAAACTGTATTCCGCGCGGAATTACCCTGGCAGTTGAGCGCACATCATAATTTCCATCTCGAAACAAGTGACACCGAAGGAAAAACGACTCCTTTTTGCAGGAGAATCACAAAAACAAGTGCAGTTGTTGATTTGCGATGATCTGCCTTTCATATCTTGCCATTTAGATCGTTATTTATCAATGTGGTGCTTAGCATGAGGAAAATGATGATTATTTTTTGCACAAATACTGAGGCACCTTCTTCTAAACATTTTCGCTTACACGGTAGCCATAAGAAGAAGAAAGCTGCAGATCCAACTGTCACAAGGTAAGTACCATAATAGGAGACTCAAGAACGCTTCTATTCGAAACGTTCTGACATATCTCATTTCCAATGATAGACCACTTGAATAAGACGACCATGTTTAGACAACCTGTGGCCGTATTCATCAACGAACCCTTAAGGTTAAAATTTACCTCAGCTAGCATTTGAGTTTATAAGCCGTATTCACAACATGATCGCAATGAAATTATCTCGTGGGTTGAGTCTACCTTGAGGTAGGAATGAACCTTGAAGCACATAAACCCGTATTCATCGATCGACCTTGAGGTTAAAATCTACCTCCATCATCATTTCTCCTTTACTTTCCATCATGCGTTCAAAGTAAAATTTAACCCTAGGATAGCTAGGGTCAAAATCTACCTTGACTTTGCACAGAACAATTTTTAAGGACCTCCTTAATTCTAACGGAACTGTTTTCAAACACGAATATATTATATTCCTTATAGCTCAAATTTTGCTTGTTTATTTAGTCTTTTTTCTTCTCATCTAATCATGGTTTTCAAGGTTTCGAAAGTTATTCAATGATCATTAGTGGGTGAACCATCGAACCAATCAATGACAAGTACGCATCGGTAATTTGCAATTCAAGCGAGCTCCTCCTCAAAATTCTTTGCAACTTGTGGCCGTCATCACAAACTCATAAGAATTATACTTTGACTTTTCAAGCTTTATGTCAGTTATAACAAAGCTTTAAACTGTGCAAGTATATGTATATGGCAGAAACGGCACGTCCTTTATGTTTTAGTGTAAAAAGGTTGGTTAGTGCAAAAGCATACATGTTAAGGAACATCTTAAAGGCAGGATAGATCACGCACATCCGCTTCATTGAATGCCCAGAGAGTGCAGGATCATCAAGGAGCTGATTTTGGTGTAAAAGTTGCCTAACGCGCAGAGCTCAAACATCCACTTGCAAACTTCAAAAGCCTTTTGAAACTATTTTAGAAGCTCCAAGATGATTCTCGAAAAAGAATGTCTTTACATCACGCGAAGACTCGCGCTATATCTGGATCTCTCGCTATATTTCGCTAGGTCTCCTATTGTGAAAACATGTTTGATTCCTTTTCACTAAGGCGATCTTCCACAATCTTACCCGCAAACGAAAGGTGAGTACAGCGTGTAGCAAACTGCTTCGGATTCAAAAAGACAAAGAATTCTCGTCAGTAGATTAGATGTCCTCTTCTGTTTGAACCTCGGCATTGATTTGATGAAGTGTTAGTTAATCCATATGCCAACACGAGGTTTTTTGGTGAAGCTTTTATTAGTGGAGTGGCCTTACGTTTCAACGCCAATCGTCGTCTTCAGAGGCCTAAAGTGGAGCGAGATTGATGATCATATGCCTATACCACCAAACGCTTTGTCGACCCCCGACTAGTATTCGATCCCCTCTACGTTTCGCAAGCAAAGACCTCAGAATGGAAAGACTAGCTGACCGTGGCTCCACCGCTGTCGCACTGATTGTGGTGTACGGTCGTGTCGCACACCACCATCAGTGGCACCATAGCACAGAGTCCCGTGCTATGGCGCTGAGCATTGCTCGGAGTAATGGCTACCAAGTGCACTATAGGCACGGTAGATTACAAAAATCGAAAAGCAGTGATCAGCACAATAACAGAATAACACTTTGTCTACCTTTCATCTCACAAGGAGAGGATACTTAGTCGAAAGCACCAATTCAGATGAGGCATATGTCATCGTGACGTGCTCGGAGCGCTGATTTCACAACTGACAAAATTAGCTGCGGAGCGCCTTTGGACAACGAGTTATGATTGTTTTTGTGGAGAAAATTTGAAGTCGAAGGAAGAAGAAAATTATACGCAGAAGTCTCCAGTTGGGCTCGACTTAGGGAGTGATGTCTGTCAGATCACTCTGCGCGAAGAAAAATGTCTGTCTGCTATACCCACACTTAAAACGAGTCTATCTGCGAAATATACATGTTGTATCAATCAATTTTATTCTCTTCACCCATTCAATATTTGGCTTTTGAAACGGTCATAGCTCCTCATCCAGAAGCGCTCCGCAGATAAGGAGGACAGATTTGAAAGTAGCGTTTCGAGCAGGTTACGATGATATATGTCTTATTTGGATTGGTGCTTTCGACTAAGTATCCTCTCCTTGTCAGACGAAGTCAGCAGTGCTGTACAGAAAAGCATCGAGCGAG